AACCTTTCGTCCCGTTTCGTCATGGCAACTAGCACTGCTTTATGCTACCACAAAAAGTTTATGAAAAATGAATACTTGGTCACTTTTTTTTATCAAAAATGAAAATACCAGCATGTATTGCTGTTAAAGGAAGAAAGAATACATCTTTTTCATCAAAACAGTCGTTTAGGGCGACGCTGGTTTAATATTGATAATAGGTTAGCTAATTAGCATTTAGAGGTATTGTGACATGGCTATTTTTACAGACTACACACAATTATATAAAATAACAGACAACTTTCCATGTATTTATTTGGATTTAATCATTTTTTGTTTTAACATAAAAACATTACAGTTTTGAACTTTCTCCTCTGTCATTTTCCATTTGGGGTTTTGCAACGCAATGCAATATTGGATACGTTACCAGCCCACGTCTGCAGACGTATGTGTTGATGTATCCTCGATACAATGAGCAAAGCAACAACTCATCCAGGAACTTTGAGAGTACTTGCAATGATAAGTACTTAGAAATGGAACAGTACTTGGGCCAGTGTTGATGACATGTCAGAAGAACACGAGTTCACAAATTCAGACAAGTACAAATTGAGAAACAACTCAATCATAGTGGCTTAGAGTCATTCCCGAAAGACAGCTAAGCCTTTAAATAAGTTATTTTTGCTCCAAATTGGTAAATAATAGCCACTGTGACAAATGCTCTTCTGGTAATGAACAAATAACCTTGGCTGATGCATAAAAGAAATACCTTTGAAATTACATATAGCTGCTCAAAACAAACAACGCTTGCAAAAGACTTTTGCAAGAGGCGTTAGCGCTCTAAAACTCCATCTGGTTGTGTGCCCGAGAGCCTGGTTTTTAATCTGAGAACACGGCTCATTTACAAGGAACGCTTTATTTTACTTACTGTCATGTTCATATATTACTGCATACTGCTGATGTATATACTCTCCCCATGAGTAAAAATGTTTCACTTAATCAGAGCGCAGGCTGTAAACACAGCAAGAATGTGACCTTATAAAAGTGACACGGGAGATAAACGACCAGCTGAGAAATCGTATTTTCTAGGATTCTGGCTGGAAGAACACAGCGTGTCTAACAGAACACGTTAGCTGAAAACAGCAATCTGTTACTGAAAATCTGATGGCTGCTAATGAAAAACGGGCAGTAAAATCTGGTGCTGGAAATACAACTCGACAAGCTGGAACATGCTAATATTCCTGTTTTTATGGCAGATTCCAGTGAAATGATGCATCCAAAACCAGAGGTGGAAAGTAACAAATTACATTTACTCACGTTACTGTAATTGAATGGTAAATGGCCTTTATTTGACATAGCGCCTTCTAGAGTCCTGGAACCCCTCAAGGCGCTTTACAACACAATCAGTCATTCACCCATTCACACACACATTCACACACTGGTGGGGATGAGCTACGATGTAGCCACAGCTGCCCTGGGACGCACTGACAGAGGCGAGGCTGCCGAGCACTGGCGCCACCGGTCCCTCCGACCACCACCAGCAGGCAATGTGGGTTAGGTGTCTTGCCCAAGGACACAGCGACAGACTGAGCGAGGCTCAAACCTGCAACCTTCCGATTACAGGGTGAGCGCTTAACTCCTGTGCCACCTTCACCCCATATATTACTTATATTTTATTGAGTAGCTTTTTTGTGTATTTATACTTTTTAAGTCATTTTTAAAACTTGAGTATGTTTTTTAAAAAGAATTGTAATTCACTACATTTTAAATCATATGCGTTACTGAGTAAAAATAAATTATAGGCTTAATAAATTAAAAATACTGCGTGTAGCAGCGTCACAACAGAGAGAGACACCTGCGTGAGCGTTAAACCGTGGGAGTGGGGGGATACACTCTTGATAATGAGGGCAAACAGCCATTTTTACTGCAGTTTTGCTCAAAAACATCAGTTCAGTCCCTGTGATCCACTCGCTGTTTACCTCCTCTCTCCCTCCTCTCCTGTGGGTTGGAACATGTACCTTCGTGCACCGGTGTGATGTCATCAGAGTTATGCTCGGTTCGGTAGCAAGTGTTTCCCTACCGCTCTGCACGGAAGCGGCAAAATAACGTTTAGCGCTCATTACAAGCGGGTTGTCGGCTCTTTGCACATAAAAGAGAAGACCTGCAGGCCTCTGTGAGTTAAAACATCCTGATACTGTTTCAGTTGTAAACATTGTGCTTCCTCCCTGTGTTTGAACTCTGCTTCTTGATGCCACAAATATGTGATGATTTAGATTGTTTCTTTATTTTACTCCAGAATAAGAGATTAAAATATGACAAAAGCAGTTCAATGTAGTTAAATTAGTCATTCAAATGATTCTAACATGCTGCAGTGTGTGTGTGTGTGTGTGTGTGTGTGTGTGTGTGTATTGTGAACTGGCGTTGTGATTTTGCACTACTTAGATGTAGCCATCCTTACGCTAACAAAAATGTAACTAAGTAACTTCTACTTTGAATACATTTTATTTACGATACTTTTTACTTTTACTTGAGTAAAAATTTAGGAAAGTACTTTTATTTGTACTTGGGTAAAAAAAATTATCAAAGTATGGGTACTCGTACTTAAGTAGGAAATTTTAGTACTCTTTCCACCTCTGTCCATAACTAATTTGTTATCACTCAAACCAGCTCGAATGTATGAATTTGTTACAAACCACAAGACGTTTTTATGATTTTATCAAGTATCACGATAAGACATCACGATAAGCAATGACTGTATTGTATCGGTAACTGAAAGTTGTTCTGCGAACATTTATCATGGGAGTAATTTTTGTTTTAAATAAAATGGAGATGTTCAGGATACTTAAAGGTGAATAAAGAAAGAATCCCATCCTGTGGTCAAAATTGGGTACTGCAGTCATGCCTCAAACAAGTCCACATAAGCAAAGATGAGTCATGTGCAGTAAGTTGATAAATAGAAAAATATGTTTCACAGATTGCTGGTGAAGGTTCTCAGTCGTCCAGGTCACGGTAATATAAAAGGGTTCAAATGAAGGCAACTGGACTTCTTTGGTTTCTTAAAGATGTTTTGCTTCTCATCTGAGGAGCTTTGTCAATTCTAACTGGAATAGAGCTCCGGACGTCACGTGACTCTCACAGAGTAGACGCCATGTTGGCAGGCAACAAATGTAAACAAAATGAATGGGGTCGGCTTGGATTTTACTTCGTCGGAGTTTACTTCACACTTTAAAACCGAAGAAATGGTTTTATATAGTCAGAAATTAAATAGACTAAACATCTCCGACCCTTACCGTGCCCCTGGGATACTTTTTTAAAACGCCAGAAGCTGTCGGAGCGGACTTCTTACCGGACCTGGCCGGGGAACGCTTTGGGATTTCCCCGGAGGAGCTGGCTCAGGTGGCTGGGGAGAGGGAAGTCTGGGCCTCTCGACGCTACTGCCCCCGTAACCCGACTCTGGATAAGCGGATGAAAATGGATGAATGGACAAATAACATAGATTTACATGTGAGAAGTTTAGAGTGCTGTGCTGTTTGAATGTATAAACTGAACGCCAAGTGAAACCTAACCCTAACCCTCTAACCTGATATTAAGTGGTCGCTGCATAAGCGAAAACCTTTACTCTCGGGATCCCACAGCTTCATTTCAGCCCGGTCACTAGCGCGTTTTATTACAATGATCCAACGTTTGCGGCGCTCCAGATCTTGGGGAATCCTGTAGATGGCTCATTCCTTATGTCGTCCGCGTCTGTTCTGCATCCTGGGGCACAACCCACATATTTATATGTCGATGGTTTCTACACCTTGCCACGCTCCCAACATGAACATTAAACGGTTTATTTATTTCACTGTAGTAGAATTCTAACTTATTGTACTTTTAAATTCAAGCTACACCAGATGCACAGGCTGTTTTAATGAACATTGCAATCAGGGGTTCTGAAATAATGATTAAATATGAGGAGCCATCTGTTGGCCTCTTCTAGCAGCGTTCACCATGAAACTCAAGAAATTTCTTTCAAAATAAGAATCTCAAACACGCTCAGTATACAAAACATCTAAAACATTGCTTTCCTGTGAAACTTAAACTGTTCAAACTTTCTAGATTTGAATCTTTTAGCAGCTCCCTGCTGGTTAGAATAGTTTCAGTTAAAACAAAAATGTATTGAACAAAAATTTTAAATGTATTTCAGAACTAAAAACCCCCAAACAGCTTGATGCTTTGCTCCACAACAATGAACCTTAAAGCCATCTATTTCCAAGAGCTATACCTCTTTAACATGATTAGTACATTCCATAAATGCCAGGTTTAATCCATAAAACGGTTTTCTGCAACCTTATTAGTATTATTTATGTAAAAATTCACTAAATAGATGAAAAAAAAATCCCTTATTGTTTTTATGTGCCAGCATTTAAGGGAATAAAAGCAGAGCTTTTCTTTCTGTAATTAAAACTGCATGATGGTAGCAAGTTTGCCTCACAGGATCAGGTTGCAGGTTCAAATCCCAGCTGCCTGTAGTTAACATGTTTTCATGCATGCGTGGGTTTCGCCCCACAGACCAAAAGGAGATGCATTAGGTTAAACTATACTTCACATTGAATAAGTGTTCATAAACTGAACAAACACAATTACACACACACACATACTTTTCCTCCTCCAGCAGGGCTGACATTAGAATCTCAGTCCCAAACATCAGAGGAGCAAGCAGCAGCCGCTGTGCCTCTGGATTACACTTGTTTGGCATTTTTCTCTTTGTGCCTCCATTTTTTCCATCTTCTTTCTACCTACTTCCCTCTCCTGGGGGTGGAGGTAGTTGCTAAGCAACCGGCACAACACAACAGCGCTGCTCTGCATCTTGGCTCTCCACTCGGTGTGTCCCTGCGGTTTTAGACAATCAAGACAGACCAGTGTGTGTGTGTGGAAGGTGAAACCAGAAAGAAAGTCCCTTAAGGAGAAACACAACGTATTCATCTAGGATCGAAAGGGCAGAGGCTCTGAAAGAGTTTAAACAAAAAAATACAAAAACAAGCCAATAAATGTTGTAATATTTGATTTTAATTCACTCCAACGTGGATAAAAGTCACCTGCTGCAGACAGAGATGTCTACCTGAAGACTTATTTGATGCTTTCTTGGTTCTAAACACTTCCTGTTGGAGCGTAGATCACCCTTATGGGACATTATATCACTTGGCAACCAATATGAGTTCCAACGATTGCTGAGGCTTTTGGAAAAGTTTTAGTTTCTAAGTACATTAAAATAAAAGGTTTGTGTCGGATGCTCCAAAGCAAAGCCACCCCACCTACTGGCAACATAGTTCTCTAGACATCATCAGTCTTGTTGCTCCATCACCAGTCGCACAATACAAACAGTAGAAAAAACAACACACACATCACGTAGCAGCGTTTAAGCTCGCTGCTTTCACAGGAAACATTCACTAACTCATCCTGGCTTTACAAAAATATACATCTGTGGGCGCGAATGCTTTAAAAAGACCCGGTAAAAAAAACGGGAGAGCCTGTGTTTACACAAGCAAAGCTGGGGAACAAATGGCACTTCTTGTTACTTTAGCAGAGCGGAGTCTCCAGGGCAGCGTTACAGCCAACACACACACACACACTGGATACACAACACACACACAAAAGCGTTTACGGCAGATTCAGACGGTTCAGGCAGCAGATTAATCAACCAAAGCAAATGTGTAAACTAGACTTATGAGGGAGCTTCTCGTAGTTTTCTCCGGGATGGATCTAAAACTAAACTGGGCCCCACTCCCATTATCAGAGCCAAAATGGGAGAACTCTGTTTAGAAATGACCCACTGAAGCTCTAATGCTAAACTCAAAGTAAACTAAAGGGGATGGTGCTCTAGCGGAACGGTTTCAGGCCTCCACGACCGCTGCGTTCTGGTTCTCCTCAGCAGGAGGCCCCAGTGGTCCAGCCCACCACAGGGTCAGAGCGTTGTCTTGCCGGCTCTCCTGCTGCGGCGTCACAGCTCCGTCTCCCTCGGCTTCTGAGGCAGAGTCGCCATCGCTGTCACCGGGCCACGGGAACTGACGCTGACCGCTGGACGTCGCCACCAGGGGCATGAAGGGATGAACACTGAGGAGAAGACAATTCTGGTTGTGTCAAAGAAAACCAGTTAAAGACTTGAGTTTTGTTGCAGAGAATGCTCGGAAATCTCTCCAGGTGTGTGTGAAGTGGTTCTACCTGACCCCGTTGGTGCAGTCCCAGTGGGCCTGGAATCTCAGCTCGGGCTGCAGCAGCTCTTCGTTACCATCAGGGGGCGCCGTCCGACTGTCCCAGACGGACACCACTCCTTCTGTGTCCCCACTGAGGAGGTACCTGCCAGACCTGACACACACACACCCTTTATTTTGAAAGGGGGAAAAACTGACAACCTTCCCAGCTGGCTGAGAAAGAAAGATGATCCAGTACAACCTTCCTTCCAGCAGAAATGTTTCTGTTTTTGGATCATTTTCTTACACACTGCACCAAAACTGGATCTCCCACCAGCAGCTTGCCGGAAAGATAAAAATCCACTTTCTAAAGATGCAGTTAGAGGCACATGGAATCACTCTAAGGGCCGTAAACAGCCCCCGAGCCACACTTTGGACATGCCTGCCCCACGAGGACACACACACACACACACACACACACACACACACACACACACACACACACACACACACACACACACACACACACACACACACACACACACACACACACACACACACACACACACACACACACACACACACACACACACACACACACACACACACCTGATTTTGGCTAATAGGGACAAGTGGTGCCATAGATGGTAAACTTGATTTAACCCTTTAGTTTTTTCAGTAAAATATGAATTTTTTATATCACTATTTAAAGAGCTTGTAACTTAAATCAGGTTAGAGATAGAGGAATATTGTAAATTAGAAAAATCTTCTGTATGAGCCAAATTCTGTGATAGGAACTAATTCACTCACATAATATGCATATTGTGACGTCATCAGGTGGCAGCCATATTGGATTGCATCACATTTGCAGATTTTTTTTGTATGTTTTTGTCTTATTTTCTTAGTGTTGTTATTGTTTATGATACATATAGACATATTCCTATGTAGACATATATAACTATGTATGTATATATATAATATTTATTACTTTATTGGTATTTTGTTATGTTTACTGCATATCAATCAAGAACACTGATTTTGGTGCTTCAGCGTCATGAACACATTTCACTCATCCCTTCTTTGGTTTATTTTGTTTATAATATATATATATATATATATATATATATATATATATATATAGTCCTCAATCTCATGCTTTTCCACAAGCCCCATGCAGAACTGAATGTCAATGAACGCTTTAATTTCTGGGACAGTTACATCGTACCAGTCATTATATCTGGAGCTAGATTTCAGTTCCTCCCTCTCTAAATACCGGTGAGCATATCGGTTAGTTTCAGTTGTGATGAGGGTCCAGAATTCCTCATCCAAAAAAACTGACAGAAAATCAACATGTTCTGAATTTGACAGATCCCTGTCTCCACATTATCCAACTGGCTCATCAAAATGCCTGATCCACTTGGAATACTGTTCCTCTTCTCCCAAACTAACCCAGCCATCATCATTATTATCGTCACTGAGGCTGTGTTGGGCCACCCCCCTGCTAGCAGTGATTTTTTTTTTCCCGCGGTTCCTCCCCCTCCTGCTGCAATTCCCGCGGTTTACACCCCTGGGGCTGAATCGATCACCAGCGGAGTTTTCACCGGCCCGATCACCACCACCACATCCCTCCCCACGGAGGTGGTGCGGGACATCGGACAAGGTAAGGGCTGGATGGGCTGCTTGTGTAACCGCGTCATCGCTGACAGACTTCCTGTTGCTGCGCTCTGAAGCCACGCTTTTCGTCTCGCTATAAGACCGCAGATCATCCGAATCTGCCAGTACTAGACGAAGAGCTTCGTCAGCACTGAACATTCCTCTCAGCATTGTTTTTTCCTCTACCACTCGCTCGCTCTTACAACCTCCGCGACTTTTGGGCGGGGTTCAAGAGCTAAATACTCGAAAAGTTTCAATAGTAACACACCCACAAATGCTGCTTGGATTGAAGTTACAGGTGTCTGCCACCCCGCAGCGTAACGTATTAACTGCATGAGGGCTCAATTCTGCTGCTGTGGCTTTAAATCCAACATTGCTGCTTGTCGCAATTCTGCGATTTTGGCACTTAAAGGGTTAAGTGATGCCTCCGGGAGCAGGCATCCTTCCTGCTTCCTTCAATCCGTGGCCTGTGACACCCAACGAATCCCCAAAACAGGTGTCTCTGTCCTTTTCATACACCTGAGTGTGTGTGTGTGTGTGTGTGGGTGTGTGTGTGTGTAACTGCTAACCTGTTGGCATCACAAACCGGACAAAGAGAACAGTGTAACTCTCTAGAACTAGCCTGTAACATCCTACCTTCCACAAACAGAGCACAAGTCCACTCACCGGTCCAGATCAAAGTAGATTCGTTGGTTGGTGGCCACGTTCCTCTTCAGGGAAAACACAACTTTCCCCGGCTCTCTCAGGTCCCAACACAGAATCTCTGGATCCTACATAAAAACACAAAAGGACAGCTGTTTGTTACACAGATTCTGGGACACAGGCTCGTGCCCCGATGCTTCCGAGACCCGTGACCTTGCGCCCGCCGGTGTACAAGTAGTTTCCGTCGGGGGAGAAGAGGAGATGGGTGAGGCCTCCGTGGTGGTGGGTGGGCAGTAGAGCCAGCAGGGTGCCGTCCTGACAGGAGTAGATCCCGGCGCAGCGGGAGTAGGAGCCACAGGCGTAAACGGACAGACACGGGCTGAAGCTGAAGCAGGAGATGATGCCGCTCTGGCCTCGTTTCTTCACTGACAACAGAGACACGATTAATGATTTACACAACTTTCTGTTCAGCTGCACTGAAACGAGCTGCTTCAGCCGCTCTCACATCCCTCCTGACACCATGTATTACACGTTTGTAAGTTTAAATCCACTGTTTTGTTCTGCTCGGACTCCACAACCTAAACCTGAGAGGACCTAGGGGTCCATCTGATTGATAGATTATATTTGGTATGTAGTTTATGTGTAATTATTACAATTTGGTGTGGATATTTTTACTTTGTGGCTTATTTAGTATCAGCTGGTTCATGTAAGCGTTAGCTTGTTGTTAGCGCTAGCTACAGCAGGCTGTGGCAGTGTTGTTTACGATAGTTGTAATTCCGCTTTCAACCAGTAGGAGGGAAAGTAAGTTAGCATAAATGCTAGCATGTTAGCGTGATGATTTAAAATGGTTGATGATCTTTCAGAAACAAGTTGTTTACATTTAAAAGTCACTCTCTGAATGCTAGCTAACTTACTTCTGTTGTGTTATTACCGTCCTCTCTCTCCTGATAAACACTGAGCCTGCTGGAGAAGTTTCCACGTAAAAATGGAATCTGAAGGCGGGTGAAGTTCGGACGTCTGCAGCTACGATGTAATCAGTAAAGTTTCGCATCACGCTGAATATGTTTTACATAAACTACACGTTTTGTACTTCCGTCACTTCTTTCTTTTATCATTGATGCTATAAATAATGACAAAACTCAAGAGAACAAAAAGCAACCTTTAAGAAGAAAAATAAAAGTTCACTTGGTGACATTTTCAAAAGTTATTATTCTTGATTCAGGCGTAGGAACTCCTCTAACAAAAAGAAGTAACAGTCGGTGCACGCAGAGCAGCTCTGTTAATGTCAGAACAACTAAAAACCCTTTGAGCAAACAGAAACGGTTAGAAATGTGTGACAGACAGAAGGAATTCATCACAGCCAACACACGTCTCCTTAGTTTTTGGCTGAGAAACATAATAAAATGTCGTTGTGTTGATTTGTTTCAAGGAGACGAGACGGTGGGCTGTCGGGCCGCGGCAGCTCACTGAAAAGACCAGACAGCTGACTCCGTAACTCAGCCTTTATCTGTCAGAAGTTTTGTTCTCCGTGAACTTTATTTGCCTGTAAGTCACTTGCACTTTACTGGAAATAATATTAAAGTAATTACACACATGAGAGCATTAAATGGCATCGGCTGTGTACGTGACAGCCCGTTTACACAGTTTAGACTAAAACCCAGGAGACTGACCTACGGTGGGCCGCTCCTCGCAGTCTCTCCCGGGACGCTCCGTGTGAAACACCCGCACCATTTTCTCAAATCCGCAGTAGAGCTGAGCTCCGTCTGGCGAGAAGCAGAGCGAGTGCGCTGCCGTCAGCTCATCCAGATGGTTGTAGGGTCGGAAGCTGGCTCTCACGTCGCCATAGAAGGCGTCCCACACGTGCACGGGGTTGTCACGGCTACTGCTGGCCAGACTGGGGAGGAATAAAGCAGAAGGAGCTGGTAAAACAAAATGTCAGCATCCCTTTTGAAACAACTTCTGACAGATAAATGTTCCCCACCTGCCTGAGCGTAGCAGGGCATCAAAACAAACCCACCAGCTGAGAGCTGGTCCTTATGAATCAGGGCTGGAGTCTGAGCCTGTTTAAGTCCGGTTACTGAGCACCCGACACTAAACATCGGTGTGGCTTAAACAGACAAAGGAAATTAGCTCCTGCTGTTCAGTTATGCCAAAATCATGCGCCCCCCCACCCCCACCATGCCGAGGCTTTATTCCAGAGCTGGGAAAAGTCCAATTATAATGCTAGACTGCTGCTAGCTTGGAGCGCTTCCTGGAAGTCAGGGCGACTTAACCGAGCCGTAACAGAGACCAATATTCCCGCTCTACAGGGGGAAACGCGAAGCTTCGGCTGAGCTCAAGGAGGGTGGAGGGATGCTGATGAGAGAAGCTGACGTGGTTTTTGATGTCTTTAATAAACCCTTGCAACATCCCACCACCTGTATGAAATGATCTGAGGATGAGCATGTCGCCTCCTGCTGGCCGCTCCGCGCCTCAGCATGACTGGCATCAACACCTCTCCACTCCATCCACATGAGACGTCTGTTGATCCTGTTTACTGAGCTTTCATCTCTCCATCTCCCGGCTCCAGCCCTGCCCCCCACTCCCTGGTTGGGGTTGCCACAGTGGAGCAGCATCAGAGCCGGAGTTTGATCAGAGGAAACCGCCGCAGGGTGGATGGAGGTTGTTACTGAGACACGGCGGGAGCCGAGGGACGAGGAGGAAACGAGCTGAAAGCTACTGGCAGCTTGACCCCGGCTCATTAGAGCGGTCCTTTTACCACATATGATCTCCAGCGACGGGTGGTGATGCTGAACCAGAACCACTGATGTCACCATTACAACAAAAAGACGCTCAGATCAGAGACCTGAGTGGATGTTTGGGTGTCTCCCGGACCAATCAGATACGCTTTCCCACAAAAATCAACTTTTATGACATAAGCAAAGATGAAATGAGGTCAGAGAAACTAATAATATTAAAGAAAAGTTCTGGACTTCACTCACAAACACGTGTCCGGCTCCAGCGAGCTCATCTTGGGGTACCAGCAGTAGTCGTAGATGGTGTCTCCTTCAGCCATCCTCAGAACCGGACTCTGGAACAGGAGGGAGACAAGAACAGGAACATAGGGTCACAGGAGCAGCGAGTGCTGAATCATCTTTGGATGTAATCTCAGAAAACGCATTTAAATATTAAAAACACCTAAATCAGAAGGCTGGTGTTGCTGTTTATTTATTTGTAAGGAAAATTACAACAAAGGTTCAGGGCTTTAAAAAGTAAAGCAGTCCTACAATGTTTAAAGTTTAGGTTACACCTCTCTCTGGGTTCTGACTGAAAGAGCATGGGTTCTGTACGTATATTTTATTCTGCTTTTGTTGTTTCTATTTTATGCTGCTCTATTCTCGTCTGCCTCGACTCTAAGGTTCTTTGCTGCTCTTCAGTTGTTTTATTCAAATGTGCTAAACAAATAAAATCTCAGTTCTGAGGGCATCACAGACACATTATTTATCTAAAGCTCACTTTGAAGGAAACAGATGTGTTTCTTCTTAGCTTCAGAAAACAACCATCCTAAAGCCCAGCACACTGGTAAACAGCCAGTGTGTGAGGCTGATCTATTATTCTACTTCTATGTTTCAGCAGCTTGTCACAGATGGGCTGGTCTGAGGCACCAGAACACACCCGGGTTTTCCACTGGGTGTGTATTGTAAAGACACGTTTTAACCACAACATCAGTAGCGTGTACATTCCTACCAGAAACGTTTCTGATGCTTAGTCGCAGCAAAAGTGTTTCGTGCAGCTGATCCTATGAGATCACAAATGTCTGGAGAGTTGCGTGTGATTCCAGCTGTTTAGTTCCAGTGAGCATAAAGATGGCAGCAAGTATCCAAAATGTCTGGTTTACTTTCTGTTCTTTTACCTCAGCTACAGAAGTACAGGTAATGAGATGTTTTTTTTTAACTAGTAAAGCAACTGGAAATGTGCTTGTGACTTTTATTTTGAAATCTGTCAGATGCTACACTGCTCTGTATTTCACTTCCTGTCTGGCCCAATCTGAACTACTGATCTTGACTCGGGTGAAAGCATAGCATAAAGAAAATAGACCTGGGACATAAAAGCAACTCAACACTCAACAGAGATGTGTCCAAAGCACACCAACAGACGTCACACACTGCTTACGAGTATGGCGGAAAGCCAGCGCTAGAGTCACAAAGTATTATTTTTCATTTTTTGACATATCTTCATTGTGAAGAAAATGTTTTTTCCTTCAATCCTGCATTTATCCCAGTTTTTGTCATTGCTGATCAGCCAGGGTAAGAAGAAGTGGGGGCTTGTCCGGGATGAAGTTGTTTTCCTATTTACACATTATTCTAATGAAGAAGAAAAATAACATTGCACTATTTCATTATTAACTGTTATTAACGTCCTACTACAAATGTTTAACGCTCAGTTTGGAGGAAAAAAATCAACAACAGCTTGTCGACAACAGCATAAAAACCTTAATATAGATTCAAAAATCAACTCAAACTCAATAAATGTAGGATAATCAGTAGGGACATCAAGATCATGGTTTTTGCTCCCAATCTGATTCAGAGTCATTTGATTTTAAGAATCTGCTGATACCGAGTCCCAATCTGATACTTTAGAAATGCATTTAGAAAAATGGAGAACACATTAGCATTCTCCAAGTTTTTTCTTTTTTAATCATTAATGCTTTTCTTTATTTATGTCATTTCTTATGTTTATCTGCCACAAATTATCCCTTGTTTAGGAAGTACATTATTAAGAAACTTGTTAATATAAAGAATATATGTAAAAGTTGCCTTGTTGCTCATATTTCAAATTGTTTACTCAGTGTGGCTGTTTTGAGCGACGGCACGGTGACGGCAGCAGTAGGGTCACCCATTTCTACAAAACACCTGTAGTGCTGAAGTGATGTAAAGTTAAGAGAAAGCAGATCATACCGTGACTCAACAAGAGTGCAAAACCACAAACACTCATCCAATGTGATAAATATCGTCCCATTTTTTGCAGTCCGTAGACTATTTTTTTTCTTAACATATCTTTTATTCGTGTCAGCTGGCTTATGCAATCTGTTGCAGCAAACTGAGAAGGGTTCGTGTTTTTAAGGTGGCAGCACTACCTTTTCCACCACGTTAAATGCCCAGTTTTCACATATTACACGTGTCTATTACACTCCCTTTGCTGTCAGTGTTATCATCCAAATTACAGACATTTTTTGTCTCTTGAGACGACGAGTATGCTCTGTGTTAGCTAACTGCTACATGTTATGGAGCATGAATTCCTGGGCTACCTTAAATTGTGGGACTTTACAGCATTGTTGTCTGTGGAACAAAAATACTGATTGTAAATGGCAGCAAATGATGTTCGTGGTAAACAATGCAGTTCTGTCACTTTACGTTTTGTGCTTTTATTTTGAAGAGCACCCCCTCTTCTTCTACTACTTCCTGTTCTTCTACTACTTGCTGTTGTATACGTTAAACGTTCTGCTCCCGGCTCATCATAACGACATGCTCGTGTTGCTCCAGAGTTGGTAAAACATGCAAATATGTTATTTATTTGTCATATTCTACATGGAAACTTGTGAAAGGGTATTTTACAGTGGTTCGCTTCATATTTGTGCCGTTTGTATGTCATGTTTAAGGGACATCGCAGTGAAGTGTGGAAGATAGGCTGGGCTGAGCTCAAACTTAGCGCCCTTGGAAGCAGAAGGAGGTAGGGGGAGACTGATGGTGTATTCAGTGTGAAACGAGTTGTTTATTTGATTTCAAATGGAAGGAAATTGTCATTTTATTTAAATAAGAACTACAACTTATAACGGCTAAAAACGGCTACTTTCATGTAAAATTCATTATTTGTTTACTAAAATTGTTTGTGTTAATTTTAAAATGTAAACATGATTTCTATGCATTATTTGTGGAAATATTATGGTACTGTGATATTTGTATTTTCTGTTCATATAGTTTTCACGGTGTCATAATGCGAGGTGAAAGAAGGAGAGGATTAAAGTTGCACCAGTCGAAGCTCTCTGCATCTTGCGTGGTTATTCCAAGTGGGCCGCTACACTGATGTAAAAGGAACATGTTGAATTGAAACTATTCATTGTTTTTTTTAAATTGAAAATCTCTTTCTTGGGATGAATTTAAAAAGTAATGTTTGTTATATCTCTCCTTTAGAGATAGGGCGAGAAGCTCGGTCATCCGGGAGGGGCTCGGAGTAGACCTGCTGCTCCTTGCGCCTTGGGATTCCCCCGGAGGAGCTGGACTAAATGGCTGGGAAGAGGGAGGTCTAGGCCTCTTGACTTAGGCTACTGCCCCTGCGACCCGACTCCGGATAAGCATAAGAAAATGGATGGACGGATGGATGAATGTTTGTTTTTTTTACTTGGTTAAATCCAATTTTTCCAACCTGATTCCGATCCATTAAAAAACGTGCTCGGAAATCAGGTCCAATCACGTGATCGGATCGGAACATCCCTAATAATCAGATAAGCTAAGTTGCTCATAGGTAACTCACAGAGAAGCACATTATGGAAATCTGCTTCCTTAAACGCACCACAGTCAGAACTCGACTGGTCAAACTGGAGACCAGTTAGAAACGTCTTTAATACAATCACAGAACCAAGAGTCCAGAGTTTTTTGGTGTTTTATGCGGAGTTAATGATCCATTTAAGGTTTCGTATTATTGGATCTTTTCCCCTAAATAACCATCAGCTGACACGTCATAAATCATTTTCTGGGCAGGAAAAGCTGATGATTTACATCCCGTCCTTGCCAGGAAACCAAATCCTTAAAAGAGATGAAGGGTTGTAAATTTTTCAAGCAGCAGTTTAAAGACAACATAACAGATTTTTAATAAGAGTAAAACCCAAAAGGGCTGGTAGAGAAATACGTTTTCCACCCTTATAATACAGGATCTGAAGTCTCTGGGATGGAAGAAAATGGATTACATGTCAATTATTCCTGCTCAGCGATCCTAAACTACCAAAGCACAGCCTCCGTGTTTCTACTGAGATGTAAGAACTGCTTTCTGCCACGCATTTCCTCAAGGGTTTGACCAATCTTAGCCCTCGACAGCTGCTGCTCTCCATGTGTTAGATGCGACTTTGCTCCAGCACACCTGATGTAAAACAGCAGGTGTTCAACAGGAGTCTGCAGAAGTTAAAGCTCTCTACCCAGAAACCCAGCTCACCATCTCAGGGAGGAGGTCCCAGCTGTAGCTGTAGATCTCTGGCGGGAGGTTGTAAACACGGAGGACGTTGTCTGCGCTGTTCGTTAGGATACAGGAGCCATCAGGAGCCCTGATGATGGAAGAGGAGGGGGGGATGACACAAGCAGAGAACAAAGCTCAGGGATAATGCAGCTACACTCAAAATAAACCCGATTTTATACAAATATGAACTTTTACTCGTGTGATTTAGTAATTAAACACCAGTGAGGTTACCATTTGCAGCCTTTGAGGTAATTCTCTGGAAAGTTGGAGTACTCGTTCCAGGAGCCCGTCAGCATGGTGGGGTTCTGGGTGAAGTCCAAACCCAGGCTGGAAGCAGAACAGAGACGAGAGCGAGCAGAAACTCTGAGTGGAACGAATGATCCAGGGGAAAGTCATCCGTTCAGCTGGAAACCAGTACTCGCACTTTGTTTGATTTTCTGTTACTCATGAAAAAAAGAGCTGCATCTTGTAGAAAACAACCGCTTTAACAAATGCCCTTTCAAAATAAGAGCATTTAGAAACAGAAATACATTAAACAATAATAAACATGTGTTACTAAAGTTTGTTTTATTTAGTCAAAAAATGTACTTCTCATCTCCAACATTTTTATTTGATTATATATGTTTGCCTGTATTTTTTATTTGCTCTGTGATGTTTTTGACTCAACTTTTTATGGCTTTGTTCACAAACGTACTACAAATCTTCACTGCGGCCTAATGGGTGCGCTACAACTAAGCAGGTTAAAACAGGGTATCTGCAGGTTTAAGGGAGCCAAATTTAAGACTTTTTAAGACCTTTTTAAACTTTGACAAAATTTAAGCAATTTTTTTTAAATTAAATTTAAGCTATAATTTCCAGCTATTGTCTGGAACCAGTGCTAACCACGTTGTAAACGTGGGATTACCCACCCAGTTACCATTAAACTTGCACTTCCCCGTGGCACAAACTCCCACTAGCTTAACCAGCTAATGTGCTCATCCAAAAATGGCCCCCTTTCACAACCAACTGAATGTGTACGGTTCCGCTTACGCCAACATCATACACAAAAAATGCTGAAGACTAACTAGAAATTCCTGTTCATTGGGTCTTTGGTAATTTAAGACCTTTGGAAACTGTATTTAAGGATTATTTGTCATTTTTAAGGATTTTTAAGGCCTTAAATTTAGAAAAGCAAATTTAAGACTTTTTAAGGACCTGCATATACCCTGATAAAAACAAAAACACTAACTTCAAAATTCTGCTTAAAAACACATTTTTATTAGATTTGCTTAAAAAAATAACATAATTCTGAAATATTTTCTTGAACGACCAATTTAATAATTTCTCTCAGACATTTTGTGAGCTTTTTCCAGTCAAATGTTTTTATCTAACCTTTTGGGGTATGCTGTAGGGCTGCAGCTATCGAATATTTTTGTAATCGAGTACTCTATCGAATATTTTATCGATTAATCGAGTACTCTAATAAATTACCCTTTTGCGTTTGTAAACCATTATATCAAACAGCATGTTATAAAATATGAAAGACCTCTTAAAATGAGCCCGCAATTGCCAGTTATTCTTCAAGTTTTATTCAAATTTAGTTTTCAAAACTTCAGCACTTCAACTGTAAACAAATGAGAGCGGCTGCGGCCCAAACAGAACCAGAACCGCTCACGGCGCATGCGCAAACATAGCTCGCCAGCTGTTTCCCTATTAACACCCGTCCGTTTTAATTTCTACACTTTTTTGTCTCACACAATAACAAGGATTGTCGAAAGCATGTTTGCCGTTGTTATGTCAAATTATACTGATCACAAAACATTTATTTACTTTCTTTCGTTTTCCTCCGCCACTCATAAATACCCGTGTCCTCCTGCAGCAATCCTGAGGGACAACGGACATCAATAACAGCACAATAAAAAGTCCGACGTGTTGTAAAAACTGCTATTTTTAGCACATTTTAAGACCGACGTGTTGCTACCAGACGCACAGTGTGAGCTGAAACTGAGTGCTACAAACGAAAAAGTCGCACAGTGTCTGCAGAATATATAGAAATACAGGCTAAAATGCATTATCTTGTAGAGGCTTCGAGTCCGCTTGCAGAAGTGACATTTACATGTGGATGTTTCCTGGTCAGGTGCTGCAGCATCGAGGAATGTGGTGTTGTGGTAGGCTAAATCCATTTTACAGTTTTTAAACTAGAGTACGTTTTCCGCCTTACGACGTGAAAAATGGTCCCACACCTTTGACATTTTCTGTCTTTTTCGCACTCCACCGGGGTCCACGTTGTTCGCCATGGCTTAAAAGAAAGTTCAGTAGCGTCCGCTACTCGCGTGTGCATTCAGTGCAGTATGTATGTGCGTCACTTATTTCGGTCTGGGTGAAACATGACCCCGGGCGATTGCAAAGCCATGAATTAATTAAACATGAATGAAACGAAGCCTCGAGGCAGAGAATTTGACTCGAGGATTTTTGTACTCCAATTATTCGAGGTACTCGAGGAATCGTTTCAGCCCTAGTCTGCTGTATCGTTACCCTCGCTTTAAGGAAACAGAAAAATAAAACATTATTTGAACTCACTGCTGTCCTGCAGCAGGGCTGCCTACAGATTCATTCTCGTTGAGCGCCTCCTCCTCTTCTGGTTTTGTCTCAGTTTCCTCTGCATCATCAGGAGCTTTGGCTCCATTCAGATGACCTGCTGCCACGTCTTCCCCAGCCCCCTCTTCCTCCTCACACCTTTGTTCTATTGTTGCTTTAAACAGAACAGAAGAAACTATATAAATGATATATGTAAGTTTCAACTCTAATGTGTATAACTTCATATGAACAGGACTTTACTTTGTGCAGATGCAGCAGGGTTTTCTAACACACCACCTTGTGATGGGACCGCATCTTGTCCCAGCTCCTCCTCACTCCTCCTGGACCGTTTGGCAGAAGGTGGGAACCCCTCCTCTGAAGTCTCTCCGACTTCTACAGACTCACAAAGTCTCAGTGAGGCCTGTGGAGGGGGCTCGCTGTCTGCTTCAGAGTCTGCACCCGCCAGGCCTCCACCCTCCCCACCTCCGGCTGAGTCAGACATGGCTGTGTCTCTGTCCTCCTCTGTCTGGTGTCTTTTTGTCCTGCTGGGAGAGTGCTGTCAGACGTGGGTGAGGTAGGTGCTACTAGGATAGTGCTTCTTCCTGCAGTGTGGACGATTGAGTCTGTCGGGGTTTGATGACATCACCCACCTGAGATAAACAGGTAACAGGATTGTGATTCCAGACCAGATTCTAGAAAACTGACCATTTCGAAATAAGAGCGTGAGAAAGGCTATTTTTTATACAATTATTTTAACTTTAAAAGACCAGCTAACATTTTAGAAACGTAATCTGTTACTATAGCAAAATGCATGGAAAGGTCGGGTTGAACGTATGTGAAGTTTGTGACGACTACAACTACTTAAATTTTAAGTTTTAACTTTTATACAAAGTTTCATCATTAGTGCACCTTAATAATAATAATTATAAAATTAAAGAGGCATAAACACGGATGTTCCAACACCTGTAGCTACTTTAACGAGCCTTCGTGTTCATTTTTAGCAAACCCGACAACTTGTTACAACAGCCGTCGTCTATTTAACTTCAAGTCCACAACATTCATGTAAATAAAGTAAAAACACCTTTGAGTCACGTTTTGGACCACTAACAGAGACCGCTACACTGTGTTTGCTCAGGTTAGCATTGACCGAGCTAACGGGTTGTTGCTACCTACCTGCGTTGTGCTTCGCCTGAGCGTTGATGCTTCGCTGTTTTCCACTCAGCGGTTTTTAATTTTAGACGAAAACAAATTCTACAAAACTAGACGAGGTCTCAGAGGTAGATAACTTAGTTGTCAGTTCAGCAGCTCATTGCGAGAAGTTGTAAACACCGTAGGCGGCCATGTGTCCTAAAGTATCGCGAGACTTCCGTTTTAGAACGTTGCTAGAGCAGGTTACATAATTGGTGGACTTCCTAAAGGAGAATGAATCATGTTTAGACTATATTCGCTTAAGAAAACGCTCAATTTAGTTGTTTTACGGATGTTAGGAACACCTAATGTGAATGTGATACGTTTTAATAAACTAAATGACATTCAAAAAATAAAATAAACAAGACAAAAAATCTGACTTTTTCCTCTAACATTTTTTTTCATACATTTTGATATGCAAATATTTCGCAAGAATTAAATCTTTAAATAAACAGTTCTGACAGATAAATGTGGTTTATTTAGTATTTATTTTGTTCTTCAAACATGAGTCAAACTATTTACACAGCTCTGTTGTTCTTCTCTGAAACAGTTTCATCAAATATAAAGTATGCTGTTATATCCAACAACAATTACAGACTTGTTAGAGAGGAGCTGAGCTGACCGGAGTAAAATTATCATCAAACCATTCTGCAAATTCATATCCACCCGTGCACCAATCAGTGAGTTGTGTTTGAACCAGAAACTAGTGAACGTGATAATAAAAGCCTTTGTAGTGCAGTAAAATAGAAAAGCAGACTGAGCAATGATTAAGCTCACATATTCAGCTTAAAAACAGGAGTTTGTAGGCAAATTAGACTTTATTGCATAGTTAAAAGCTTGTCCAAGATTTGTTTATAATCTCAAAGTGTCGCGGCGTACCAAAGTCTTGCTGGGATGAGTTTGACCTCCATGGGCATTTATTAGAAGGTTAATAGGTGGTAGAAACAGCCAATTGTGTGGCTATAAATGTCACAAAAACCTAATACGTGACCAAAAAACCCTTTTTTTAAAATGTAATTTGACAAACATAGTCCAGGCTTACACAATGGACTGGTTAACTCCTATGCAGTGCTATTGAAGATGTTCACCACCCAATTAATCTGTCAAAATTCATGTGATTAATATATAAAGCTTGTCCTTATAGGACAATATATGCATCTCTTACCAAATCTTCTGGAGTGTTAAACAAAAAGGAAACTTATTTACCCCAACTGCCTTTTTAACTAGGATCCTAATTAGACACCAATTTGCCCCGATCAGCTCAGCTCCACCGCACAGACTCCAGCTCTTTTTGAGCCTGCACCATCAAAAATCACCTAAATCTGAACAAATTCACTCTCCATTTTAGTGAAAACAAAAGCCTACCACCAGCAAAAAGATTAAAAAAAAAGAAAGTCAACACTTCCTGCTCTGTGTGTGTAGTTAGCTGGTAACTAAAGGTGAGTGGATGGATGAGGTTTATGCATCGCAGCTCTTTAAGCCAACAGAAAACAGTTAACAAGGTGGTTTCCAACTAACACTCATTGTTGAGAACATTTTCAGTTAGCCATTCGAGACTTAACTATACAAAATAAGGCATGTTGAACAAACAAATAAAGCCAAAACCCTCTATGAGAAGAAACAAAAGGTATAGTACACTATTTACAAAGCTCATCGTGTATATTGATGAGTTGATGTGTGTGTGTGTAGATGGTTCTAGAGGAGCCACTGTAACGTTAGCTGTAAGTGTGCATGTAGTCTGTTTGCAACTCCTTTGGACTTGAGAATTTCTGCGTTGTGTAACCTGTCATGTGTTTGAGTCTTTTTTTTTGTACAAAACTTATTTTTTTGGATTCCATCCAGTTCCACCGCTGTAGGAGTTTCCACCAGCCCAGACCTACAGCAACTCCTCTACATTATTTTGTCTTTGATTTCTAGGCAGGAGGGTGGGTTTTAGAAGACCTCTACGCAACCATCCAGGAGCTTCGGGCAGAGATGAGCTATGATCACCATGGCAACGCGTGCCTATTTGTCCTCTTCCTCACTGGAGAGCATCTAATCAAATCCAGAGCTCCAGACTTCCAACGCAGAAGGGACTGATGGTTGGTATCCGACCGATGACAGCCTGCTCAGTCCGAGGCCAAGACCAGAGTCTTTGGGAGGTTTAAAGGGCAGCTTTACTCAAACTGACTCACGGATCGGCTGTAGATTAAATCCTCCTCGCAGAGGGCAGCAAATAAAGCAAAGCCGAGCTCCTGATGGAAGACAGAGAGAAAAAAGAAACAGCGCAAGTTTAAACGAGAATGTATCAACGTTAGGACTTGGTTTTAATGACATGAGGTAGAGGAGTAGTGCTTTTAGGGTCCATTAGTTTTAGGGGAGTGGTGACTAATCCTGGTACTCTGAGGCCACCACGCAACATGTTTTAGTCGTTTCTCTGCTCCAAGACACCTGAATTAAGCAGTAAGTTGAACACTTTGTATCAAGAATTGACATCGGAATAACAAATTCATTTATTCATAACCAGTAGCTTAGATTACTGCAATGGCCTCTTCAGAGGCCTCCCAAAGTACACAGTTCCAGCTCCCAACATGCTGCTCTTAAAGGAACAAAGAAATCATACCAGAATCACACTGCTTGTATTAAAAAAACTTAATAGCTTGGCACCACAATGCATAAGAGACATGTTAGTCTGCAACACACCAGTCAGACCACCAAGGTCTGCAGACCATGGAAACCTGGTTATGCATTGTACAACAGTGATTTCCAACTCCCTTCCCTGAGGACCAGTTTGATGAGCTTCTGAACAGGTGATTCAACCACTGAACCGCGCATGTTGGAGCGGGAAAAACACTTAAAAGATTCTGAACAAGGGCCCTCAAAGACCAGGGTTGGAGACCACTTTTGTGGGAGACAATTGAAACAATATCCTCTTCTGCTTATTTGGGTTTGGGCCTGAGCAGAGAGGCCCAGACTTCCCTTCCCTGAGCCACTTGGGCCAGCTCCAGAGAAATCCCAAGGCCTTGCCTGGCCAGCCAAGAAACAAGGTCTCACATTGTGTCCTGGGTCTTCCTTTGGGTCTCCTCCCAGTTGGGGGGGTGGCCGGGAGGCATCCTAACCAGATGCCCAAGCCACCTCAAATGTTTCCTCTTGTAATGGAGGAACAGCGGATCTACTCCGAGCGCCTCTCGGATGACTGAGCTTCTCACTCTCTAAAAGAGAGCGCAGACACCCAGCAGAACAAACTAATTTCAGCTGCTTGTATCTGCGATCATGTTCTTTTGGTCACTACCCAAAGTTCGTGACCATAGATGAGGGTGCTGCCTCGATTAGTCGATTCGTCACGATGTTGACAAACAAAAAAGGTCAATACATTTAATAGCTGATCTCGTTTATTATATGAAGCATGTTTTTTGCATCTTGCCTGCTGCAACAAAACTGCTGCTTTCTGTCCTGCTCGAGGCACATGCGCAGTAGTGGCCATCCGAGTCAGCGTCACATCACCGGAACAAACAAAAAATGGCAAGCTGCCACTGTAGCTCAAACGTTTCAGAGCATTTTACAGAGAGAAAAGAGAAGCATGAACATGCAAAAACTGCAAAGTGAACCCTCCTTTCCCGGGAGCACAACGGTGATGCATGAATACCTTAAAAGGGAAGCAGGACAGTCACCTCTGTAAGCTTTTGTTAGCTGCTAACATCAACAGGGAGTTACTTGTAGTTATAGCTTTTGCAACATTAGTGATGGCAATTTTCTTACATTTAGATCACATATGCCACGTATTTGCTCTAACGTTACAAACGCTAATGCTTTATTGTATACCGCTTCGTCAGTGTTAAATAAAAGTGCTCCCCTTCAATGGACAAGTGTGTTACAAACCCAACATCCACACCTCAGCAAAAAAACTTTCTGATCAGGGCCATTTTGAACTTGTTGGTCAAGGACACGAGAGCCCAGTTGTTTGACAAGCTATCATCTTGTCTTTATGTTTAGATGGCACATAACGGATAACACTTCAAACTATAAGCTAATGATGGGTATATCAGAACAGCTGCATCCTGGTGCAATAAGCTATACTTTATGCATGACATGCTTAGTCAACCATTTGTCAAAACAAACTAGTGATTATTCGACTATTTAAACAATCATTTGGGGCAGCCCTAGTTGGAACGTCGATCTACCGATAAATTGAGAGCTTCGCTTTTCGGCTCAGCTCTCTCTTCACCACGACAGACCTGTACAATGCCCGCATCACTGCAGACGCAGTACTAATCTGTTTATCTCTCTCGTGCTCAGTCTTTTCCTCACTCGTGAACAAGACCTCGAGATACTTTAACTCTTTCACTTGAGGCAGGACCTTATTCCTGACCTGGAGAAGGCATTCTACCCTTTTCTGACTCAAGACCATGGTCTTGGATTTAGAGGAGCTGATTCTCATCCCAGCTGCTTCTCACTTGGCTACTAACAGCTCCAGCAAAACCTGGAGATCACGTTCTGATGAAGCCATCAGGACCACATTATCTGCAAAAAGCAGAGACCTGATCCTTAGACCACCAAAATGGATCTCAACATCTCGACTGCGCCTAGAAATCCTGTCCATAAAAGTTATGAACAGAATTAGTGACAAAGGGCAGCCTTGGCGGAGTCCAACTCTCGCTAGGAACAAGTGTGACTTAATGCAGACCAGTCATACAGGGCCCTAATGTCGCTATCACATTAGCGTAGGTACGGACAGGGGAGGATAGAGTCACTTCGATCTCTGAAGGACTTCTCAGGAATGCGGAAATCCTCAAGTCCGTGGGCAGCATTTAAGACACACGGGAAAGTCTGTGGTATCCTCCATAATAAGATAAATAAAGACGGGCTAGATGTGTTGCTTTGAGAGACTGTGAACCACATTATTTTATTAATTTGTGTTACCTCATAAATCTCTGGAAAAAATAAATAAAAGTCACCTTGGAACCGAAAACACACATCAGACATGTGTGTGAAACCAAATTCCTGTCCCGTACCCAACCATACCGACGGCAATGTGCATGCAGCATAATAGCCCGTATCAAGTGGCCAGGTACCCCATATTACTGGAGACTTAGTCGAATGCCTTCTCCAAATCCTCAACACATATGTAGATTGGTTGGGTGAACTCCCACACACCCTCTTGGATCCCCCTAAGGATAAAGAGCTGGTCCAGTGTTCCACAGCCAAGGTGAAAACCACAGTGCTTCTCCTGAATCCAAGGTTTGAAAATCCAATGGACATTCCTCTCTAGAACTCCTGTATCTACCTTACCTGGGAGGCAAAATTCTGCTGTAAAAAAAAAACACTTCAAAATGACTAAAAAGTACTTAACAGATTTTTTTTAACAATACTTGTCATAAGCCGAGTTTACATGGCAAGATAATTATGCTGATTATTTACCAGAATCACCCCTTAGACAATCTTAAGGCAACAGATTATTTTGTCTATGAAGAAAGTCTTAACTTTCTACCGTGTGAGGTGTGTTATGAGTGGTCTGGTCTTCTCAAAGGCATGTCAGGACCACAAAAATCCAGGTTATCAAACCGGTTGGTCTCATTTACAGGGACAAACAAGCGTGCTGCTTGTTGAATGTGATGTGTAGCCAATCAGAAATCAAGTAGACCGAAGCAACCTGCACACTCTTCCTCCACCATGTTTGTTTACTTTAATTGTGTTTGTACTTGCAAGGTTTCTCTTCTGACCGAGGAATGTTTTTGTGTGAAACTGACCAAAATTTTTAAAATAGTGATTTTTTTTAACTGCATGTTATCTTGTTTTGAAGAATTATCAATTTAAAATCCTGCATGAGAAAGATGCCTAAAACTTTTAGACCGAAGGGTTGTCGTTTCTTTTTTAATTACAGCTTTAACACTCCCACCCTTTAAAAAAAACTGACAAAAAAAAAAAAACTTCTGGTGAGACAAAGTTCAAATTTTTTACAGAAGACCCCAAAAACCACCAATGAAAAAATACTGCACCATTCGCATTATAGGAACGGATGGTTAAGAAACACAGTTGACTACTCATTTCAAAGCAAGGACCAAGGAGACAATAGGAGGCAGGTGTAGGGTAAAAAAAGCAAGTGAGATTCCAGATTGCGGTAACAAAATAAAACAGCTTACCATGCCTTTCTCCTCCTGAAGTCCTGAGCGCAGCTCTCAGATTGGTGGACCAGGTGGAAGCATCTTCACCATCCACTCTCCGACCCAAGTCCGCCTCATGTTGATTAAACTCTTGGGCTTATTATGTGGCCACTGCATCCATTGTTAGAAGTAACCATGAGTCTTGGAGCCTCAGTCCACACGTGTTTCCCTTCCATCCACATTTCTGCTTTTTTGTTTTCTTAGATTACTGGCATACAAAGGGAAACTCACAGAGTCCATTTAAAACTATATCCAAAAAGATTGGTTTTCATCAAGAACATTCACTCCATATAGTCAATGTCCCACCAGTTTTCCTTCATCCATTTGAAAATTTCTCTTTTCTACTCTGAAAGGTAATACAAAAATATGCTTATATACAGGAGGTGGGAGGAGACAGGCTTCTCCAAGTCTCTCGTTTCAGTTTTGGAACCAGTTTCCTGTGACTCAGTCCAAGTCGTAGCATTCCTCCTGTTGTATTTGTGCTCCCATCCCCAGAATTGTACCTCACAGCTTGAATGAACAAAAGTGCATAGGTGAGTTGGTGAGGGCAGGGTGTGAGCGCTCACAAGGCTCGAGTTGAAGACGAGCGCACAAACGCTTCAGTTCCATCCAGCTTTATGCAGCCTCCCCTAACAAAGTTAGTTTTCCACAAAACGAGGCAGAAAATTAGAGGACGTTGTCCGTTGATGCTCGCCGCTCATCGAGAAAAAAAAACAACAAAAAAACAAAAACAAAGCCCAACACCACTCATTGTCCGTATGGCAGAAGCGCACTTGCAAACCCCACCTGTCTTAATGTGGGAACTAAAAAAATAAAATAAACTGCACCCACAGTTAAATCCACGTGGCTTGTAAACAACCAAAGCTCCAGTATGGAATAGAAAAAAGTCCTTTCTTTTTTAAATTCTGAGTCACTACAACCAGGATTGTAGAGGCAGTGTGTTCAACTGTTTCCATCCCGAGTTTTATTTTTTTCCCCATTTGTTTTTCTTCCCCACTGTGTAAATGAAAACCTCTTTGAAGGTATTTTTTGTATTTTGTTTCCATTTTTTGAAATCTTCCGAAGAAAAACAACAAAAGAACTCTGTTATCAGCACGGGTTTGTAAATTTTTTGGAATACATTCAATGTTTTCTTAAGAAAGAAAGAAAATACACACTTCACATGGCAATAATGAAATAAAAAAATAAGAAAAAAAATAAAAATACACACAACAAAAATAGCAGCCCCAAGTGCTCATTATCTTAGTCGAAATACTTTTTAAACTTTGTATATAATGTATATATTCCATATATTTTTTTATTAAAAAAACGAACTCGTCATTATCAAATTGCAACAACGAATAAGTAACACAATATGCTAACATGTCATGCACCCTGATGTGCACTTGCACATTAAGATGCTAGATTTTTTTCTTGTTTTTTTTTGTTTGTTTTGTTTTAAATCCAGTCAGAAACTCGACACCTTTCATTCACAAGATCGAGAGCTGACAAAAGGCAACGTGATCACACCCCGGGAAATCGAACTGGACTAACCTTCCGATGGATTGCTCAAACCCCGCCCTCCCCTCCCCGACGAACTGAACTAGAAATATTTACGATATAAACTTACATACTTTACATACAATGTGCTGAGCACCGACACACATCGCATCCGCTCTTAAAAAAAAAGAGTTAATGTCTCAATGGCCATGCACCCTACCAAAGTTCTTAGGCACAAATGTGCATTCATACACATAGAAAACAAAAAAGCACAAACAAAACGAGTACCTGTAGTCTTAACTCACTTCTATGAACAGTAATGAACATGTCTTCCATTCTCACACCCACGCACGCACGCACGCACGCACACACACACACACGCACGCACGCACGCACACGAATAACCCCCATGACTCATCACATCTGCCGATCCTTACAGGACTCCATAAAACAAAGCTGAGGGAAACGAACAAAGCTACCATTTACAAATATGAAAGTTGGGTTTGTTGTTGTTTTTCTAAATCTGGGGATGAAGAGCTGGTGAGAGAAAGGATGTTTGTGCGATTTACCCTCTCTCTCATTCAGTCACACTCTCAAACCAAATCTCTGTCTGGAAAAAGGGACAAATAAGCTGAACATGAAGAGAAAATCACCGTCTCCACTGAAAAAATAAGACAAAAATGGCCTCTTATGTTTCATACACCTTGGTAAGCAACTAAAAGAAAAAAATAACATTGTGCAGACTGTATCAACAACACACACACACACACACACGCACACACTCACACATTCACAAAAATATTCACTTCTATATCTAACCCCACTTGTTGGATTTTTTTTGTTGTTTTTCTTATTTCTTTTTTTAGGCAAGTGCAAATCTTCAAGTTTTTATACTCCATTTTTTTCAATAGCTTTAACTTTTTATATAAATGTAAAAAAATGCTCAACAAGAGAAATATCAACAGTGTTTGTCTTTTGAGAAAGGATTTGCTCTCTGATAAAGGTCCCCCTGACTTTGAAAACCGACCGTTCACCCCGCATTCACCGCCCCCCCGTCTGGGTCAGCTACAAACACACACACACCAGATGTGTGCGCTCACCGATTCCAAACACACACGTTTACACACATTGAAAAAAAAAATAAAATAAAAATAAAAAACAACTAATCAAATCCCATCTCAATAAAGTGCATTAGTTTAGAGTAAGGTGCTTAATCTTTTGAGTGCCAGAGGATCCTCGTCCTAACAAACCACCACTCACCCTCCTCCCCCGCTCTAGTGATCAACCGGTGCAGCAGGAAGCCCTTGTTATCTAACCAGAGGGAGATAAAGAGACGGAGGCTGGAATCTACCCCCTCCACCCTTCACCTTCCCTCCCCCTTCACTCCCAAACCCCCCCACCCCCTAGGTTCCCCCAGCAGTGCACATTCGTCATCAGGTTTGTCTGATTAAAAGACAGAAAGGCCTCAGGTAGCTATTGCTGCTGCGCTGCGTCACATCAGTAATCCTCCAGCATCTCCATCTCATTCAAGCTCAGACACTCGCCTGGGTTGTGGAATGAGTACCCTGTTAGGGTGGGGGGACAGAGAGAGAGAGCGAGAGAGAGAGAAAAAACTGTAAGACCAGAGGATGTGACGAGACAAGAGTGTTACCAAGTCTGATAGCCAACTCCCTAAACCATTTACCTAAGATGCTGGGGTCAGAGTGCAGCATCATGGGCTGTTTCTTCTTCATCTTCACCCCCTGGTTGTCATAGAGACCAGCTTTGCCCATGTGGTTGGCCTGAAACATGGACTGCAGCGTGCTTGGGTTCATACCTCGCATCGAGTCCTGAGTTAAACAGAGAAAGATGGATGTGTGTTTAAACGCGACCTTCAGTGGCTCCACCAGATTTAAACAGATTAAGTTTAATCTAATCTCCATCATTGACAGATGTTGACTAAAAGTCACAGACTTACCTGCAGAGGGAAGTTCATGTTCAATCCACCCACTTCCTTTGATAACTGTAAAAAAAACAGTCATTTGAGCTCTTTAACAGCATGTAGACAGGTCCCATAAGTCAGATTTATCCCATAATGATCTGGTCATTCAACACTTTATAAAGCTGTAACAAATATTTTTAAATCTTCATATTATGTCCTAAAACACAGATCAGAGCAGTCGAGTCAGCAAATCTAACAGTAACGATTTTAAATGAGGCATTATGATTAGAGCTGAAACAACTAATCGATTTTAATCGATTTAATCGATTATAATCGATTATTAAAATAGTTAACAACTTTTTTAGTCATCGATTAGTTGTCTAATAATCACATTTTACCGCATTAAGTCTTTTTTTTACCACAATCTGACATCGGTTACAATCTGTTAAATTTGCCACCAGTGTGTGGCAGTAATGAGCCACTGATCTACCAGTGGACCCGTAGAAGAAGAAACGAGCCAATAAGTGCCCTCGGTTTTCATGACGTAACACGTTACTGACGTGCATCTTGCTGTGAGAGATGGCGGAACAAGAAGAAATACGGAAGAAAAATAGAAGCGACAATACTGAAGAGAAACCCCGGACAACAACCCAACGAGTATGGGAGCACTTCACTCTAGATGCCATGAAAAGACGGGTGACCTGCAAAATATGCAAAAACCATCTAGCATGGCACGGAAGCACGACGTCCCTAAGTGAACATTTGAGACGAAAACATGTGGGGGCTGATGCAGCAGAGGAAACGCCAGCCCGGTAAGTAACAGAAAATAAACAAGCTAAATATAGTGGTCCATCACTACATGCAGATCAAATTTGGGACTTAGTGTTTTAGCTGAGTTCGTTATAGTGGATGTTAAACATGTTTTTTGCCGCGTCAGTCTACGGCGTTCTACTTCTGATTGACTAGATGCAATCGTGAATCTCCTCCGTGTTGTGTATCATGCGCTTGCCAAATTTCTGTTTATAAGAATGTTCTCGTTAAGAGAAAAACGGCACAAACCCATAACTGTGTTCCTCATTCAAAAAAGGACAACTCCGCGGGGAAAAATATACAGACAAGCTGTGTCCAGGTGAATATAACGCGGCATGGTTGTACGCTTTCAATTTTTAAATACAGGAGAAATTCAGAAAGTCATTTTTTTACTTTTAAAAGGCTGTTTTACTATCTAACGCCGTAAAACGCCTCACAACACATTTTTATTAAAATAAATGATCACTGTATATTGTTAATTAATTCAAATAATATAATATTGATTTAGTGTTGTAGTGTGTGTGCTGCTTTATTTTATATGTGTACTTATTTCAGTCTATTTGTGTTTCTTATGCAGAAAAAAACAAGCAACGATGGACAACTACATGGGGGACAAGACACTCACCCCCAATGGACAATTTGTTAAAAGGGCAGAGATATTTTTGTTAACATGTACTACATTATTTTTATGGAATTTACCTCTTATATTTTGATGCCAAAAAATTATTCTGGACTGATATTTTGCACTGTTTAGCTCATTTTACACCGCTGACTGTGTTCATGTGCAATAAAATAGATTGCAGTCAACTGCACAATTCTCTTATGTTTTTCTTTTTCTTAACTGAAATGTATTCATTACTTGTATAGGTTAAATAGCTAAACAATAACAAACCGATTAATCAAAAAAATAATCGACAGATTAATCGATTATGAAAATAATCGTTAGTTGCAGCCCTAATTATGATGGAGGCTGACAGCCGACGCCCACCTGCTGCTGCTGTCTCTGTTGGTTGGCTTTCTGTTTGGCACGTCGCTCAAGAAACTGTTTGGCGAACTCTTTGGCTTCCACTGTGTCCCCAAGGTAGGACCGGATGAAATCCAGCACTGCATAGGGAGACTCCACCTCCTTCAGGTACGCCACGATGGTGGCAACTTCAGAGGGGAGGGAAGGAAAACAAAGTCATGCTAGTTTTTATCATCAGAACAAGATAAAACATCTGTCCATCCATCCACAGCAGAGCTCAGGGTTTAACATTTAGAGGTAGAGCTTCCTACCATCCAGAGAGGAGGAGTTGTTGGCGGAGGTGTTGAGAGCGTGCAGCATCTGTTCACACCAGGTGGTGAAGCCGTCCTGAGGCTTCATGCCCTGCAGCAGCTTCAGCAGCTTATCCTCCTCCTCCGTCCGCTTACGACGCATCAAGTACTGATCGCTGCAGCGGAAAAACAACCTTTAGTCTCTGTGACGACAGGAGGACAACACATACATAAAGCAGGTCCACACCTGAGAGACGGGCTGCTGCGGCTGTTCTTCAGACCCAGGTTGTTGTTGCCACGGAGACCAGCCTGGCTCTTCACAGCCTCGTCCCACATCCCCATGCTCCCAGAAGAGCTTCCGCTCCCAGCCTTCCCCTCCAGACCGGGACTGCCCCACATGCCCATACCCTCGGCCCACTGCCCGCTCATGGAGGAGCTCCCCATGGACATGCTGGAGTGCTGGAAGAGGAGAGACAGGTTGTTTACAGTTACCTACAACATCCCATCATGCACTGGGGTCAGGACTCACTCTCTGCTGCTGGGCTCTCTGCTGCTGCATCTCCAGCAGAGTCAGAGCCTGGGACTTTGCTGCCTTTGATAGCCCGGATGAAGAAGCGCTGCTCCAGCTGGAGCCGCCGCCCCCCTGGCCCTGCTGCTGGGGGGTCTGCTGCAGCAGCTTCATGATCAGCTCCTGCTGCTGACGACACTGCACACACAACACCATCACGCTGGGCTTTCCTCCCATCACAAAAACTAGACGCTCCAGATTCCTTCAATCGCCCCACCTGTTTGCGTCTGAAGAGCTCCTCCTCCTCCCTCCTCTTCTGCTCCTCCTGCTGCCTCCTCTTCTCCTCCCTTCGTTTGCGCTCCTCCTCTTCCCGCTTCGCCCTGAGTTCAGCGTCTCTCCTCTCCTGCTGGAGCTGATGAGAGCAGGTCAGCGGCGTGAGTCAAACAGCAGCAGAGAGCAAAGTAACATCAGGACTAAACTGACCTTCTGAAGCTGTTCAAGAGTTGGACCCTGAGTAGAAGGATTCATTGTTAAGTCCCAAAGACTGGCTTCACCGCCTGCATGGAGACAATGAGATGGTTAGGTTCTGCTGAGGAGTTTGATTGGTCATGCTGAGAGGAACCGACCTGACGGCTGTGAAGCTGAGGTATGCATGTCCCACATGGACCCTGTATCTGGCACTGACATCGACCTGTTCATCGAAGGCATTATACCCTGCTCACTGCACCTGGGACACAGAGGGAACGACCATTACAGTCACAGGTTCATCACGAGGTCAAAATGATGACAAAATAGGTACAGCGGGCATTTATTAATCAGCTTTAGCCCAAAATACTCCAGGAACGCTCCAGTGTGGCCCGCCAAAATAACCAAGAACCTCAGATCTTTTATTATGACTCGATACATTTAATACCTTCAGAATAAACCTTGATCACCTGTAAGTTTAGGCTTCAAACCACCTTTTTTTGTAGCAAATGTCATATAAATGTTTGACGTGTGACCACTGGGTACCACTTTACAACAATGCACACCTTGTAAATGGCTAATAACTCATTCATAGATGTACTAATTAATCAGTAACACTGTATAAAACCATAAGTTCTTATTATGCATTAAATAAGGGAAAGAAGAAAACAGATTTGGTTCATTTTGCAAGAAACCAATGAGATTTGGGCCTTTCTGTCCTTTAATTAATATATATTAAACACTTAGTGACAATTAAACTGTTATAGAATCATTAAAAATCTCTAAACTATAAGGGACCTTTGAACTATTACAGATCAGTTTACCTAAACTTCTTGTATAATAAACATTTTTATGCTTCATCAAAACATTTACATTTCTAACTCTGCATCAGTTCAAGTGTGATTAAAAAGGCAACAGAATTAAAATAAACGTTACACTCTTCAATAGCCAGTTGTGCTATTTTTTTAGTTTAGAAAATATTGAGATCATATTTTCAAAAGACTGAAGTTACCAATTCACACCAGAGGGTGGCAGAGTTGAGCTTTTTACTGTTTAATAAAGGTGAGAGTTTAATAAAGCAGACAACAGCTGCTGAAGCTGAGACGCACCGGTGTGCTAGCAATCTGTGCCACGGAGCATGTGGGCTGTAATTTGTTGATGGATTACACAGGTAGGTGTGTGTGTGTGTGTGTGTACCTATTGATGAGCTGGAATAGCTGCTGCTGTTGGAGCTGCTGATAAAGAGCTGCTGCTGCCAGCTCTTGCTGCTGCTTCTTCAGACGCTCCTGGTCCAGGTTTCCCTGGAAACGGGACACAAGACATCCTCAGTTTGGTAAAACCCAACCTGCAGCAATTTGGTTTGATGTAGCTTTTGTCATCAAATTATAACAAACTTAATGACGTCATGGAGGTCACATGACTGAACGACAGCTGACACAAAAGCGGTTGTGATGCGTTTCAGAGACATTTATAAGTAAAACCAACAGAAGACATGAATGTAGATTAGAAGTAAATATCTCATTACAGCCTGTCTCCTCATGCCCCCTCTGATGTCCATCCTCCCCTCCCCATCTTGCGGCTCTGCAGAAGTCTGACTCACAGTCCCGGCGGGCCCCCGGTTGGGCTGCGGGCGCTGCGTCGGTGGGTGTTGTCTCACCAGCAGGGGGGGTGGGGAGGGGCCCGGGGCGAAGGGCACGCGGCCCCACATCTTGATGACGTCTCCCAGGGGCTGAAAGCCCTCGTCGCAGCCCCGCTTCACCAGCAGGGTCATGGTGAAATAACCAGCCTGGAACCACTCACACATCTCCACTGTGGTGAATGGACCTGCAGACCCAGAACACAGACAACCATCAGCACTTCTGACCCAACCATCACCCTAACCCCACTCAGGAATCAGGCGTACCCTGGATCTCCCCCTGAGGGTCTTTGTAGAACCACTTCATGGCCGCCTCGTGGGTGAGTGGCAGAGCAGCGGCTGTGTTCCTGCTCTCCTGTTGCTGCAGAGCCTGGGTGAAACACTCCTCCTCCAAGGAGGTGTCCTGCAGCGACGCCACCATCTTCTCTGCCTCCTACATAAGCACACATTACACCAGTATTCAGCAGCTTCACTTCTCATCCGAGGAGCTTGGTCAGTTCTGACTGGAATATGGAAGGGTCAAGCTTATAAACTGTAGCTGTCTATTGTTGTTTAACGAGCAGATACTACCTATGAACACCCCACCCCCTGAGTAGTTGTTGAAGTCATTATGTCCCATTGTGTTACAATGCTGTTTTGATTAGATGCAGAAGGGTGTGACCTAGACTAAAACCATTTAGAGCTGCGTCGTAGGTGCTACATCCCAGAACGGCTTCTGGTATTGTTTTCATGTTTTTCTTTTAAGTTTATTTTCTAACTTGTATTCTAAGTTTTTACCAGAGCAAAAGAGCTTTTCATAGCATTCTGTTTACTGGATCTTTAAAAAAAATCTACCAGCCTCTGGATCTTTGTCCAGAAATGTCCGCTTACACCGACCTCCGATCGCTGTGAAAGGCGGGAGGGAGTTGGTGCGCATAAAATGCTCAGACAGTTATTACATTAATGTGGTGGGACCTGAATTATTTGTGGGGAAAAATCTGTAAAAGAGGAAAAAAAACAAACGCTTCAGAAAGCTAAGGAGAAGATTTATACCTGGACACGCAGTGAGTGAGCTGTCCTATTTCAAGCCATTTTGTTATTTAATCAGCAATCTATAAGACCTATAGAAAGTTACATATTGTGCAAAAAAATGTTGCACAAGTGTTCTACAACATAAAGAGATTTGCTGATCCGAAACAAAATCCGATTTGTGACTGAAGACCGTGATCCCATCCAGATTTTGATCCGTTGCACCACTAGTGAGAACGTTCCTCATGAACTGCGGTCATGAAGCTGACCTGGAAGATCTTTAGTGAATAAATAAACACTTAATAAATCAGCTCTGCTGTGGATTTAAAACAACTGTCGTGTGAACCTGAAGCTAGTTTACAGAATAAGAAATATTCACACAGACTGACATTTAGGATAAACGTGGACGAGCCGTTAGCTCATGGGACTTGAACGCCATTTCTATAAAAATAAAGTCCTTCAGGAAGCTACCTACAATGGAAAACACTTAAAACAGGTGAGAAATCATTTTAATTTGTGCCTAAATGATTTAAGACTAGCGAACATCATTTATATTTTAGACACATTCACACAGCTGCGATGCTTACCTGTTGCAGGTGCTTCATGCCTTCATCGTCCTCCGCATCTCCCCCGGAGGGAGGGAGGAGAGGAGCAGCAGAGGAAGAGGGTGGGGGAGGTAGGCTGGAGGTGGAGGTCGGGGGGCTCAGCTGGACCTTGGAGCCCCCGATGGGAGCCAAGTCTGACACAGAAACGACACGATAGACGAATAAAACAATGGTTCTATTCCTGGAGTCGTGTTTATGGAGCAGAACCAGAGCCGCCTGCTGGTTCTGGTCCAACAGCAGCGGGTTCAGTAAACAAGATATTAGAAATGTATTCTGTAACACACACACACACACACACACACACACACACACACACACACACACACACACACACACACACACACACACACACACACACACACACACACACACACACACACACACACACACACACACACACACACACACACACACACACACACACACACACACACACACACACACACACACACACACACACACACGAAGCGTTTATATTTGAATAAACACTAAAAGCGTTGTTTTATTAACACAGCTGACCTGAGCTTTAATTATTTATTTATTCATGACACTGACCATCAGCAGGAGAGCTGCTGGCCTTCAGAGCGTGGCTGGTGCTCAGCTGCGACATCTCCATCAGCGCACCAGCAGTTCCAGGTTGGGACACCAGTGATGGAGGGGCACAGTGGGTTGTGGGGGATGACGAGGAAGAGAAAGGGGGTGATGCTGGCTTCATCTTGTCGTCTCCTGCAGCAAACATGGCGTCTTTACTCTCTGAAAGACCACAACAGCTGTTAGTCGTAATCCTTCATCCAGAATAATCTCAGAGGCGTCTCCTCACCCTTGTCTTTGTCTCCTTCTGCGCTCTTTCCATCTACATCAGGCAGCATCTCCTCCTCTTCCTCCTCCTCCTCCTCCTCCTCCTCGATGCCCTTGAAGTCCAACTCCTCCTCCAGGATTGTCTCCTTACCGCCCTTCTGGCACATAGACACAACAGTTTTATTGTTAAATCACAGAAACTGAGATTTTCAGAATTTAATGGAAGTAAATCTTTTCAGGTTTTTCTACCAATATAAATAAAGTCGGATGTTTCCGTACCTTCAGAGGCATGAAGGCTCCAGAGGAGTCAAACGTCCCCATCTCTCCATCCTCCTCGTCCGTGCACCACTCCGGCAGACCGTCCCGGTCATCCTCCAGCCCTTCACTACCTGCGCGTCGGCGCCCAGCACCGTGACCATCCGATTCCCGGAAGTCAAAGTCAAACTTCCTGCGACGGCCTTCTCCTGGACCGGCGTGGTCCCGCCAGCCTGCTGAGCGAGGACCACCATCTATCGGAGACAAAGGACATGAGAATCATCCTGGAAAGGTGAAGATCTGAAGATGTCGGGGGTCATTTGTGATTTAGAGTTTAAAAAACACCTGTGGTGAGTTCAGACTGTTAAAATTCCCCTTTCTACCACTAGATGTGAATGGAGACACTTTAAGAACCGCCCCTCTGCAATAGCAAACATTCACTGAAGGCCCACTAAAATAGAAAAGTCAGTTTTTATTAGAAGTTATTTTGTTACTAGATGTATTTAACTTAAATCATTTCCTTTTCAGGAGTTTTATGTTTTGAAACAAATAAACGCATAAAAATAATCATATTTTACGCAACATTTTAAACTCTCGTCTATGTAACGGTTATAACGACTGAATAAATCTTGTTTTTGGTTCGTCTAACCAGGCCGAGTCTCGACAAACACAAACAAACAAACACGCGTGTTTATCCTACCATCCCTGCGGGGCGCAGAGTGTCTCCAGTTGCTGCCCGGCTCCCCCTCTTCCTCCTCCTGCTCTTCGCGGAGCGTGCGCCAGTTATCGCTGTCAGCCCTTGTGTACTCCTTCCTGGCAGGACCCCCGGGACCCACGGCTTCTTCAAAGCCAGGACGCCCCACCTCCCGCCGCAGAGGCTTCTCGAACCGACGCTCACCCCTGAGGCAAGGCAGGAAATGAGGGGAATAAGGGGCAGAATGATACGAGTAGATTAAATCCCTTTCATCCAGGTTTAAAAATGTGAGTTTCTCCTGGATAAGAAGTTTGACTAGTTTAAGAACCAAGGAAGAAAATATACGACGTAAATATTAATAAATACTTGTTTAAATGTGAGCTAAATTTGGGAGATTTACAAAACACATGACTAAGAGATGAGATTAGAGTTCAGACACATTTGGGCCATTCCCATCTGTACCTGGTCGGCCCTGCCCGGATAGCTCCAGTCGGCCCCAGCCTGGCCCGGTTGATTCCACACATCCTTGCTTAGGTATGCAAGGAATGCCGTCAGAAACATTTTCAGCTTCTAGGTAATCAGCATGATAATGAATGATAATGAATTGAGCATGCCTTAAGCCCATGTGGGCTGATTCTACCCACCAACTAGAGGCTTGCTGTAATGGAAGGTGTGAATTTGCTGTCAGCAGTGGGTGTGTTGGCCCTAGTCAGCCTGAAGCAGACCCCCTCAGAAAGAGGGCTGAAAAACAGTCTTGTGGCACCCTGAAAAATGGCAGGCCACCAAGATATGTAAGCAAGCTATGCTATCCGGGCCGGGCCGACCAGGTACAGATGGGAATGGCCCAAATGACAGATTCTCTTAGCAGCACCAATAACAGCTTATATCAAACACACACACACACACACACACACACACACACACACACACACACACACACACACGCGCGCACACACACACACACACACGCACACACACACACTGACCGGTCGTCCCAGCTCTGGCTGCGGTGGATCTCTCTGACGCTGCGACCAAATCCCACTTCAGCCTCCTCAATACTTCTTTGGTAGAATCCACTCTCTCCACGGCCTCGGCCTGAGGAGCAGCACGGGTTTAGGATGAGATGACATCACTGATCATATTTACAATTCGGACTGGACAATAACTGAATAACGATATAGATCAATAGACACGTGGTTCAATAGGAAAAGATGGACGAATAAAAACTTCAATAACAATTTCCCTTTTTCCACTGTAGCCTACTGGGTAGGTTCAGACTGGACGTCATTCCTTACACCCAACCAATGAAAACACAGACCCAAGCACGCTCTGTCACCAGGCCTCCCCTCCCAAACCTAAACAGACAGCAGTGTGACTTAAACAAGATGTTGCAGCAAGGACAGGTGGAAGAAATTGTCTCAAAAAAGGTTACAGCCCTTCACCAGCGTGGCGATATTTTCACACTTACAAGTCTGACAAAAAATAAACAGTGGGTTGCAAAAATGGCAGAGAATCAATAAAAACTAAGTCTGATAACACAACCAACTTGTTTTATTTAACAAACGGTCAGGGCTACACTTAAAATATATTTTCTACATTTTTCATATAGTTTCAATAAAAAATATCGATCAATATGATTTTTTTTAATCCATAAACTTTTTTCTGTATTGTCCATCCCTATTTAAAAAGATAACGTATACAAAAGAGTGTTTTAATGAGTGGGGGGCTCATTCTGAACCACAAAGTGAATCTAAATGGAAAAACTCACTTCTGATACAACTGCTGCTTTTCTAGAAAAGCTCACTGTTCCATTTTTAGTTTTCCAGGAAACCACAAGAGAGGAAAAAGTGGATTTATTTAGCAAAGAGACTCGCTGATGAGGAGCTATAAACATCAGCCTCCGCAGCTATCAGGCTAGGTTTAATAAAGACTCGCGTTTCAAAGGACAGGCGGGCCTAAAAACAACAAAGCCTCTGCTTCAGGTGGCGAAACCTCCTGCCGTAGTTAACTCACCCTTACTCACAGGGAAATAAAGCAGATTTTATTCTCCTCATCAGTCACTGTCGTGTAGTACTTATGTTCCTGGTTGGGTGGTTCAAAACATCTTTATTGCTTTTTAAAGGGATATTTTAAAAATGTACCATCCTAACCATAATCTCAAACCATCTCATCAATGAGAAATAATTTGTTTATCCAACAGGATTGATAGGCTAACAGCTAGTCTGTGCAGGTGTGTTCTGTGGTCTCACACCTGTGTTTCACAGCAACCTTTACTTTATAACCTTTTAGATTAAAACTAATTTTATGTAGTTAACAGCATAACATAAAAGTTGTTGATAATAAAAACTGCACAGTCCACACTGAAGTTTGGGATTAGCTCTTCAGTCTTGGACAAACCAAACCATTTCTATGGACAGAGGTTGTGTTGAACGACCAACAGCATGATTATATTTAACTTTGACCCAGAAACAGAATTTAAATGGCCGAAACATCCCTTTAAGAAGCCCGCTTTGAGGTTAACTTGAACACAGCTCACAACTAACCACACAACTTCCTCATTAGGTCTCCTGCACACCAGCTCGGACCTTTGCTCTGGCCCGAGTGGTTTGGGACAGGTGAGGCTGGACTAGAGGAGGATTAATTAGACAGGAAGTGAGAGGAGTCTAGGAGGTGGGACAAAGAGAGGAAACAAACACTTGAGCAGCTGTCTGAGGAACAGGATGAACAGATGATTTACCTCGACCACCTCGCGCGGCCCCTCGTCCACGGACAACCCCGGCTGGTGCAGCACCAACCACTCCCTTTCCCATAAGCCTTAGAACCGCTGCGCTGTTCACAGACATGGAGAAGTTCCTCTGCAGAAAGAACAGTGTGAGTGAGGTTTTTACGTGAGGAGGTGGAACATTCGCAGCAGCAGGTGTGTGATGAGACGGACCTGCTCCTCCTCGGTCAGAGGCACCAGTGCCAGCGGCTGCATGGGCTCATCTTGCAAAATAGCAGCAAACTCCTTATCCTGCATGTCCTCTGGGACCTGAAGACACAAAAGCACACACACACTCATACACACACCTAACATTCAGACGCCTCACATCCAGGCTGTGCTGGGATAAAAGGCTCAGAATTCCCCACTGACCTTGTTGTCTTTGATATAAAGTGCTAACATCTCCTCTCGGCCGTAGCGGTACTCGGCCAGCTTGTACTTTGGCATGGCGGGGGAAGGAGGGGGAGACGTTACACTCCCCCCACTGGACAGTGCACGAAGCCTGGGTGAGGAAAAGCACAGAAACCACACAGCTCAGCGTGTTTATATTCAAAAGAACAAATTCTCGGTCACTACGCGAAGCTTTTGTCTGTTCCTTTAATTCCTGGCTGCAGAACAAAAACAGTCCCATCCATCTTGCAGCAGAGGGAAGAGAAATTGCCTCATTTACAGCCTACGAGACAAGTTCCTCTAAAGGCTCTGGACTCACACAGATGATATAGCAGCGCTCACATCTGCAGATTTCATTTTAATAAGCTATTACTCTCCGGCCGGCGTCCAAGACCCGCCGCTCAACAATGGCTCCATTCACGGCCTCTACAAAGTGTGTCATTGATTAACAGCCACACATCAGAACCATATGCAGCTCTGGGAGGTGGAGGGGTAAAGGTAAAGCAGAGAGTCCAGAAACACCAGCTACAGGCCCTAGAACGCATCGAGTAAAGCACAGGCTCATCTGCATAAACGAGGAGGAGGGGAACAGGAAACGTCTGGAATGTGGAACTCTAAATCCATGAATTTATCATCTTATAAATCTCCGCTGCGCCAAACCAGCAGCTTGCTTCGACTTTGTGTTCAACCACAACAGCCCGACACGCTCCGACCCCTCCACCGGCTAAACCCAAACATCCACATGGTTTAGAACCACCAGCGGCCGTAAACATGGTGGTGGTGCAGCTGCGTTATTACAGGAGCGCTGCTGCAGATGCAGAGGGGAGTACCCATGAGAGGTTGGCGCTGGACCAAGAATGCACACAGAAGTCACCCCTCCCCCCCAGTAATGGCTGCATAAACATCCAGTCAGTGAAACAGAAAGCAGGCTGCAGCTACAGCAGGCTTCAGCGCTGAGCTCTTTATGACTGTTGTCAGGATCGTGATCGGTGTGCTGGTATAAAACTCCACAGGAAGGTCAGATAAGGACGAGTCTCGAGCTAAATCAGCAGTTTCTGCTTCAACTGTTTTAAAAAATGGTTACAAAGATAAAAGCAGCTGTGAAATGAAAACATTTTGTTTGCAACAGCTGGGCCTAAAAGGTAAAAGTACCTGAAACAGTTTGGTAGCTGCTCATCAGCACCGTGTGGTAGATGAACTTTGGTGCTGCTGGGATTAAAACGACATTAAAACTGATAAAACTAAGTGAATTAGGATGCTGACGTTAAACCTGCATCTCGTTGGGCTGTGACTGGTTTCTAAAAGTCTCAAAACATTCGGATTGTGTGATTCTGGGCATTGGACTGGCTCTCTGTCCAGGGTGTACCCTGCCTGATTGCCCATTGACCGCTGGAGATAGGCACCAGCCCCCCCGCGACCCTACGTGGACAACACGGGTTCAGACAATGGATGGATGGATGATTCTGGACAACTTTCTTACCAATAAGCTAAAGTTGATAGCCCACCTGAATCTCTGGTCCCTTTTACCAGTGATGTGGTTCCAACTAAAACAACTTATTTATTATAATTCAGAGCTTCAGATTCAGATGTTTAGTCAACATCATATAAACACACATTTCCTGTAACCCCTCTGGTCTCATGCTGCTTGTTTAATAGAGTTAGATTGAATCTGTGCCACACTGGTGGTCATCCATGTAACCTTCTAAACTAACCTCGAGACCCAAATCTGGATTTGGTGTGATGTAAAGTAAAATTAAATACAAATATTGACAAACTTCCTAAAAAAAGGAATTAAAAAGAGAAGTGGCTGAACCCAAAATCATTTAAGTAGACGAGAATAAAATATTATGGTGCAAGGAGCCAATAATGGGGCTGCACAGTGGTTAGCGCAGTTTCCTTGCAGCAAGAAGGTCCCAGCTTCAAATCCCAGCCTGGGGTCTTCCTGCAAGTGCACATGTGGGTTCTCTCTCAGTGTGTGTGCATGTGGGTTCTCTCTCAGTGTGTGTGCATGTGGGTTCTCTCTCAGTGTGTGTGCATGTGGGTTCTCTCTCAGTGTGTGTGCATGTGGGTTCTCTCTCAGTGTGTGTGCATGTGGGTTCTCTCTCTGTGTGTGTGCATGTGGGTTCTCTCTGTGTGTGTGTGCATGTGGGTTCTCTCTCTGTGTGTGTGCATGTGGGTTCTCTCTCAGTGTGTGTGCATGTGGGTTCTCTCTCAGTGTGTGTGCATGTGGGTTCTCTCTCAGTGTGTGTGCATGTGTGTTGGGTCTCAGTGTTGCCCTATGATGGACTGGGAACCTGTCCTGGGTGAACCCCACCTGTTAGCCTGGAGACTGATGGAGATACAGCCCCCCCTGAGACCCTGCGTAGATGAGCAGGTACAGAAAATGGATGGATGGAAGTAGCCAATGTCCTGATAGGTGGACGCAGGGTTAAACCAATCAGGGCAGCTCTCTGTTATACGTGTACACATTCTTTAAAGTTTGATGAAATGATTACTACAGATTAGCTGATGAGTTATTTGGGGTGCCACACTGATGGCATCAGGCCACTCCCATATTAGTCAGACTCAGTGATGTCAACTCTAAAAATGGTCAACAAAGATTTGTCATGTAAACACATCACAAACAAAGCTTTTAATACATGTAAAGAAACACGTATTACATTCTTGTAATGTAGCACATCAACATCCACAGACAGCAAGGTGTATTATTGTTTAAGACCGACAACAGCCCAACCACAGGAGGAGAGCATGAACACAAACTCAGAGAATCAGACACTGGAGAAGGAAAGAAAGCTCAAGTCAGTACTTTCTTAGGCGAGAGATTTTCTAAAGAGTGGGAGCGTTTGTCTAAAAATAAACAAAGTAGAATCCAGCAGCACAACAAACATCTGGAACACCACCACCCTGGAGCTGTGATGAAGCATCTCACCAGGTGTGAGCGAGTCAGTGTCGAGTTTTTAGTTGTTTCTGTAAACCTCCTCTAACCAACATTTAGCTGGTTTTAAATGGGTTTGATCAACCGGCCGTTGTTTTAACTTACTGAGATGTTCTGGTGAGTTCATGGAGACGCTTCAAGGACTCAGGCAGGTGAGGCACGAGTCGGCAAATAAATGACCAGAATAATGAAGGAATTTATCAAAAGTACTAAAACCAAACATGTAAACTCAACTAAAGTCCTAAAACCTCCCAAAAATAAAAAAGGAAAATCAAATCACTTACCATTCTGGGCCGAAGTTAAGAGTCTCAGCAGTCATATTCCTCACGTCCACACAGAACTGAGTATCTGAGAAGGAAACGGGTTTGCAGTGTAAATATTTATTCTGATCATAAAGACACACACACAGGAGTAAGAGTGATGGAAGACCTTACCCGGTCCAGGTGATCGGAGCAGGCTGGACTGAGCTGGCTTTAGTTAGGCGTAGGTGACTAGAAGGCTGAGTGGTGCTTAAGCTGTGGTCACAGAGATAATAGCTGCCAGGTTCAGGTGCTTGAGGGTTAGCAGGTTATCAGGTCCTAACTAGGTACAGGAAGGGTTCTGATCATTCGTTTGGACAATGGAAGCTCCTGCTACTCACAGCCCCGAAACAAAAAAACAAAAAAAGACCAAAAAATATAATAAAAAACAAAAAAACCTCAGAAACCAACAGTGGAACAAAAATAAAACACTATAGAAGTAATGATGTTCTTTTCTGTTGTTTTACAGCAGTTGTATCTCACATTAAAGTTAAAATATAAACAGACTCATCCAAAAAAGGAAAAAAAAAGTCTAAATGACAGCGGAGACAACAGGATGGGCTGCTGGAACAGCTGCCGACAGCAGACACCACTCTCCTCTCCTTTCTCTCCCCTCTGTGCCGTTTCTCTCGCTCCAGCTGAAATGTGGATGACGGAGACCCTCCAGGTAACTCCTTAACTTCCTGTTCTCCTCCCTTTGCACCACTGGAACACACACAGACATGTTCAGTGAAACCAACCTTTAAATGCAGACTAAAGTCACAAGTTAATGAGCTGCTGCTCCAACAACCAGCGGTCCACCTCCATAATGGGAACAGAGGTGGTGTCATGTGATTTATTTCCACCACAGAGCCGTGACACAGTGTTCACGCTGAGTCTCAGGTCCACTGAAAGGTTGTTGCAGCGCGCCGAGAGCTGAATAAATTGCGGGACCATTTCTCGTCTTGAACTCCAGCTGCTGCTTAAGCCACACAGCTGGCTAGGGATAAGTCCTGAAAATGTCACGGAAACAAAAACATCCAGGCAGGCTCATTTAAAAGGTGTGTGCTCATAAATGTGTGTTATTAGATCTGAGTGATGGATCCTCCTGGTGACAGCCTGGGTTTTGTTTCATTTGCTTCTGATTAGGGCTGCAGCTATCGAATATTTTTGTAATCGAGTACTCTATCGAATCTTTTTTTCGATTAATCGAGTACTCTAATAAATTACCCTTTTGTGTTTGTAAACCATTATATCAAATAGCATGTTATAAAATATGAAAGACCTCTTAAAAGGAACAAGCAGTTGCCAGTTATTCTTCAAGTTTTATTCAAAATTAAGTTTGCAAAACTTCAGCTCTTCAACTTTACTTCACAGTAAACAAATGCGTGTGCAAAAAATAAGTAAACAACCTGAGCCGATTTTCCCCTCGTGCGAGAATCTGCTAGCCTGCAAGCCAGACAGAAACTAGGAGGATAACTGTTGAAGTAGCGCTGCGAGCGGCTGCGGCCCAAACAGAACCAGAACCGCTCACGGCGCAAACAGCTCGCCGGCTGTTTCCCTTTTAACACACGTCCGTTTTAATTTCTACACTTTTTTTCTCACACAATAACAGGGATTGTCGAGAAAGCATGTTTGCTGTGGTTTTGTCAAATTATACTGATCACAAAACATTTATTTACTTTCTTTCGTTTTCCTCATAAATACCCGTGTCCTCCTGCAGCGATCCCGAGGGACAACAAATCTCAATAACAACACAATAAAAAGTCCGACATATTGTGTAAAAACTGCTATTTTTTAGCACATTTTAAGTCCGACGTGTTGCTACCAGACGTACGGTGTGAGCTGAAACTGAGTGCTACAAACGAAAAAGTCGCACAGCATCTGCAGAATATATAGAAATACAGGCTAAAATGCATTATCTTGCAGAGGCTCCGAGTCCGCTTGCAGAAGTGACATTTACAGGTGCTGCAGCACCATTTTACAGTATTTACACTGGACTACGTCTTCGGCCTCACGACGTGAAAAATGGTCCCACACCTTTGACATTTTGTGTCTTTTTCGCACTCCACCGGGGTTCAAGTTGTCCGCCATGGCTTAAGAGAAAGTTAAGTTACATTCGATACTCGCATGTGCATAGTCCAGTGGGCATGTGAGTCACTTATTTCGGTCCGGATGAAACATGACCCTGTGCGTTTGCAAAGCCATGAATTAATTAAATATGAATTAAACGAATCCTCGAGGCAGAGAATTTGACTCGAGGATTTTTTGTACTCGAATTATTCGAGGTACTCGAGGAATCGTTTCAGCCCTACTTCTGATGATATAAATGTAATAAATGTATCGTTTTAAACCCTTAGTGACACAACTGGAACAACCCAGGCACACGTTCTGCATCAAACTCTTCAGCTACCCTTCTCACTCAAAATGTCGCAGTATTACAGATCAGAGGTTCAGTTTTGGAGACATTTAGCTAGTTTGCCCCAACAGACCTAACTCGTATCAAAGTATTTGTCATATTTTGCACAGATAATGTTTAAAGTTCAAGTTGAGCTGGCCTTGGCACCATAAATAAGACGAGGAGCATTGACGAGTGCACTCTTGTTTGTCTCTTCCTCTTCAAACATTGTGTCATCATTATGTAGTTGGTTTAGCACCTTGTGTTGCATCATGAAGCTACATTTGCTTTGCATGCTAGCACATAAGTTATTCCATTTCTTTAATTGGGGGGGGTCGGTCAGTTTACATCAGTATAGTTAAACATTTTCACCAGATGGGGTAAAAAGCCACCTCACTGAGGCGGCCATTTTTTAACAGTCTTTGGTAAAGTTAATTGCCAGTTTAAGAACACAAGAATTTGTTGGTTGGGTTTAGAAAAAAAAACAGTTACACTAATAGAGAACTGCACATCAAGGACAAGTTAGTATTTTTTTTAAATCACAAAGACTGTTTACTTGGCAACAGTTATTATGTTTCTTTCAGAACAAAAGCAAAAGAAAAATCCAAACTCCTTTTAAAAGAGAAGCTGAACTTTCAAAGTCAACTAAAGTGCGCGACACTGCACTCGCGCTGATGACGCAGAAACCAAGCTTTAGAAATCAGCCTGAACCTGCTCAGATGCGGGAGAAGTCTCTTTCTCTCTCTCCCTCCTCAACTACGGTCTCTCTCCCTCCCCAACTCACCTACGGTCTCTCTCCCTCCCCAACTCACCTACGGTCTCTCTCCCTCTCCAACTCACCTACGGTCTCTCTCCCTCCCCAACTCACCTACGGTCTCTCTCCCTCTCCAACTCACCTACGGTCTCTCTCCCTCACCAACTCACTCACCTGCGGAGCCATTATCATCGGCTCTATGTGTGGAAACATAAAACAGGGAAAAACACCTAAATGTGCAGCTCTGTCAGCTGTGGAACTGGGCTCGGCTATGGACGGTACACCGCACCCCCCTCCCCCATGCTGGCTGTTGCCACCGCCGTTACACGAGGGTTAAAATGAAGTTACACAACTCATCCTGGATCAGTCAAAATTGCTAAACCACAGCTTGGACGGTCACGTGCTCGTGCTGTTTGAAATCACAATTCCGGTCCCAAAACGATAAATCGTTCAGCCCAATGTCCCAGTGTCCTAGCCTGGCCAGCAACGCTCCACTGAGTTCCCGGTCGTGGAGCAGGTTCTACCGTTGTCTTTCAAACGATCTGTGCATGCTACTGGACAACAACGCGACATACTCACAGCAACGGATATCAGTAAATGAGACAGTCCGTTGTTGAAGACTGCAAAAATACATAATTTTACTAAACAAAAAGGACTTAATTGCATCTATCTGCTCCTGATTCTAATAAAGCTCAAGTCCAAATAGTCCAAAAACGATGTAAAATGTTTGAAACAAGCTATCGCCATCTTGTTCCACTTGTTGCATCATCCCTGCCCCCTAGACAAATAGAGGGCCCTGATTGGCCCACAAAAAGGATAGAGTGCTGTGATTGGCCAGCCAGAATGTAGCTAGGAGCTGTGGAGGTTCCATAGAGCTCCGGGAGTTGACGTCACGTTTCCCGGCATGCAACAGTTCAAATCGAAACGGCACCATAAGGCAGGCAGAAGCCCGCAGCTGGACTATTTGTTATTGTCAGAAAACTCAATCAGACAGGAAATATGGTAGATTCCTGTTGTGCCCCAGGATGCAGAACAGACACGGACGACATAAGGAATGAGCCATCTACAGGATTCCCCAAGATCCGGAGCGCCGCAAACGTTGGATCATTGTAATAAAACGCGCTAGTGACCGGGATAAAATGAAACTGTGGGAACCCGAGAGTAAAGGATTTCGCTTATGCAGCGACCGCTTCATATCAGGTACTTAAACCAACGTTGTATGCCGGAAGTATGTGACGACAAAATCGAGTTTTGTTGAGGGAACAAACAAATTCAAACTTGAATACGTTATTATGTTTGTGAATGTGTACAAAATAAAGGTTTATTACATTTAAAATGGTTCAGTTGTTATTTTGACTCGTTTTGGCAGCTGACCAGTGGGGCCGGTAGATTCTTGGCGGGGCCGGTAAATATTCAGAGTTACCGGCCCGGCTGGCCGGTTGGTTTTGAAGTTAATGTCCACCCCTGGACGCCTTGCAAATATCAAGCCTATGCTGTCGAGAGCCCAACTGGAGCGGGTACTAGGGCTGCTCGATTATGGCAAAAATAATAATCACGATTATGGTGACTGAAATTGAGATCACGATTATTTAGGACGATTTTTCAATTTATGTTGATTTTATTTGTTTTTATTCAGTCATAAAATTGCTCAGGGCACAATCAGGACACAAATAAGAAACAAGATGATCACTAAAATAACTCCTGATTCCCAGTATAAAAAGACCAATATACTTATAGCTCATAGTTTATAACCCAAGGTCTATAGACCTTGGTTTAACTCATTTAAGTCTAACCAGTACAGACCCCAAATCAGGGGCGGATTTAGGACTGAAGAAGATCCGGGGCTCAACACGCGCACGCACGTGCGGGCGCAAACACGTGACACGCACTAGTCAACATCATATATAACTTGTACCACATAATTTTTAATCTGAAGCTATATATTCAGCATATTCAGGGCAGAGTATTGTTCCTGTAAGTGTTTAGTGTGAGATGATAGTAAATATTCCCTTTCTTTCTCCATCAACTTTACCTGATAGTAAGCTAACTTTAGGCAAACCAGCAGCACAACAAATATTTTCAAATAAGACTCACAAACCTGAGTCAACACCAGTATCATCAAAGCTGGGCTTCTGTCGCCGTACTTTTTGTCTAAAAAACGTCCTTATGTCCATCTTCACTCATGCGTTTCAGACAGAGACTGTAGAAGAAGCCGGCTGCTGAAGGACTTCTTCAGTGGTGGAGGCTCAGGCAGGCTGTATACAAACTACTGCCAGCTGCGCCCTCTCTGTTGGACTTTGGTACTGCATGTTACTTCCGCGATTTAGATCCGGGGCTTAACATGAAAGATCCGGGGCTTCAGCCCAAGTAGCCGGGCCTAACGCCGCCCCTGACCCAAATACCAATATCTTGCAAATACTGACAGCAAGAATTATACAGTGGCATTTATAACAAATAAATGCAAATAAATTGATGTTCACAAAATGTTGCGAAACATTTATTGAGTCGTGTCAAGGTGTTGTAGGAGAGTGCACTAGCACCGTGTCCTCAAGAGAGATTAGTTATTATTTATCA